AGATCAACCAATCAACCAACCAGATCAACCAATCAACCAACCAGATCAACCAATCAACCAATCAGCCAACCAATCAACCAGATCAACCAACCAACCCACTAGAATAACCAACCACTTTGCGAGTTCCAAGTAGCTCAATACAGCTCATTTCACCCCTTAATATTGATTAGGAGAAAAAAGTTGAATTTTTAAAGCCGAGTGAATTACTTGCAGATCACTGGGCGCTTCAATGTTCCTCACTTCCTTTCCGCCGATGAAAACTTCCCACTTTTGCTCCCCAATCTCCTCGACTCTCCCCACTCTATCTCGACCTCTCCTACACCGTTATCGACACGCTCGGCCTCGTGCCCTGCCTTATTCACAGGTACGGCCGCTAATTTAGTTCCATAACCGCCGCTAGGCATTTCCGTTGTTGAATCTGTTCCATAAGCGCTACTGATCTCCCCTATAATCTCTAGTTATTGTCCGAAAATCTGTTGATTCGTGCTTAGCAACCAGTCATGAGTTCCTGTATTGCCAGAAAAGTTATGAAAATGGAGATCGACAAGTCCATTGCTCTTCAAAAACAAGTACGTGATAATGCTGATACCCTGCGCAATGAGTTCGTGGATATGAAGAATTGGGAGCAGCAGATGAAAAAAGCTGACATGGAACTGAGAGGATCTGTTGTGGACCACACTCAGGTAAACAATAAATTTCTCGAAGATTCTAACCCTCAAGGAAATTGTTTAATTCAATCAAATCTACTGCTTTGATTTTATCTGGAAGGATTTTAGATCAGATCCCAATATAATGAACTGATATCCTTGGAATTTCAATAGAATTTGAATATACCGCAAAATTTTTAAAATATATTCATACAGAAAAAAGGTGAGAGATTAACTCATTCTGATTCATGCATTATTTCTGAGGAATTATCTTCTCTTGCTATATTGATCTGCATTATTCATAATTAATGATTCTTTTCAGTCATTGCCGCCCATACGAAGGAAAAAGACTTCTTCGAGATCAAAATCCAAAAGTAAAGACAACGGCAGCAAATGCAAGCGTATCAAGTCGTACGATTACTCTGCGTGGGATAACTTCGATGCCGTAAGTTGATTTTTTTCCTAAGAAATTAATTTATATAAAATACTCTGAATTCGTTGGTGATTTCGCTATATTTATTATTCTTTTCTTAAACAGGATAAGGCATGCGAGGAAATTGATAAAGAGAACGAGTCGGAGGACTCAGGAGAGGAATTACTGAGTAAGGAGGAGCTAGAAAAAAATCATGAGGAGGCAACTAAGCACAAAGTCATGGGGAATACTTACGTTAAACAGCAAAAATGGGACAAAGCTATGGCATGCTACAGTGAGGCCATCAAAGTCTTCCCATATGACGCAGTTTTTTGGGCGAATCGAGCTCTGTGTCATCTGAAAATGGATAAGTACGTATCTGAATTCAATAATAACATGTGCTGTAACTCACAGATATTGTAAGTAGAAAGATAATGGGTTTTATCTTCTTCTGTTAATGCTTCAATATGTTTTAGTTTGTATTCAGCAGAATCAGACTGCACGTCAGCCATCCAAAGAGATGAGCATTACGTAAAAGCTTATCATCGACGAGCCACTGCCAGAATGGCATTGAAACAGTACGTTGAAGCTGTCGAGGACCTGGAGAAATTATTATCCCTCGAGGGCCACAATAAAGAAGCCAAAAAGATGCTCGCAGCCGCCCAGAAGGCACTGCAAACTTCCAAGGTATTAGAAAATGCATCCGTTACTCTGTCCAAATTTTTGTCATAGTTTCCATTCAATTATGTTTTATTGCAGCCAGTAATTTTAAATACCACAAAAACTCAGGAAACAGTATCGAAATCAGAGAAAGACGAGAAGCCAACGATTACCCTCAAGATCGTTGATGTACATAAGACAGAAGTTAGTGATGAGAAATTTTTAGACAAAAAATATTTGATAACTGACCAAGGGACTTCGAAAGGTGGAGATGGGAGAACTAAAAATTACCCATGGTTGCCTGACGTTGGGGACGATGTTCAGGAGATTGAGGTGATTAATAAACTGCCGCATCAAAGATCAAAGGTAAACCTTAATTTATTCCATTGTTTAAAAACTATTCACAATATTATCGTTTCTCATTACTTAGATTCTGAAATCGGTGCTGTTTCAACCTTCAAAATATTCTATTATTTGGAAATTAAATAATTAATGCGATTGATTCATATCCATATGATTTTGGGTTTTTATATTTTACCCCTCTCCAATCCGTTTAGTGAAAGAAAAGTAATTACTTATTATTAAAGTGATACAGAAAATTTTTATCAATTAAGTAATTATTAAAATTTCTTTAACGTGCAGGTTCGTCATTTATACCGTTTAATTTTAGAATATTATTTCGCCAGTATTTTTTTTACTAAACGATGCAAAATTTTTTCTTTCAGAAACCTCTAAGATCAGTGCCTATAGTAACTTCGAATCTGTCGCAACTTTCCATGAACTCTACTGATCCGTCACCGGTGAAACCTCAGGCCGAAAATCATTTGGAAATGAATTCATCGGGGGACAGCCATGGCAAAGCATCGGAAGTATTTTCAGTTGAAAAATTAGTCTTACCCCCAGTTCCAAGAACAGCAGTGCAGTTCGCAATGAATTGGAGTAAAAATAAATCACCTGAATTTCGCTACAAATACTTGAAGGTATCTATAGCGTATTCACTCATTAAAATGGTTTTTTACATTAAAACATATTTTGGGAAGCCAATGACACAATCAATCTTCTGTGGTTTCACAATTATTTCAGTGCTAATTCAAATGAAAATGTTATAGGAACAGTAAAAATTCACAGTTAAAATAAATAGTCTATCTACAAGTTTCCAATTGGATTGATTATTAATTATTGGTGATTTATTCCTTGCAGCAAATTCCAGCAGAATCAATTCCAAAAGTTTTTCAAGATTCAATGGAATCGAGTACATTTAGTGAAATTCTGAAGATCCTTTCAACGCAATTCGTTCCTCACAAAGACTCAGTGTTCCAGTATCTCAGTCACTTGACTGAAATCAAGAGGTTCAGGATGTTAACGATGTTCATGTCAAAAACGGAGAAGGAAGGTAAACATTCAGAAAACAATTCCGAGTGAAAATTCAATTCTTAAATCAATCAATTAACTTTCAAACTTCCTCAGATTTGGAAGGATTGTTCACCTATTGCAGAGCAACGGAATCACGCCAAGAGGACGAGATGGACACACTGCGTTCCAAGTACGAACTATGAACCCCGTATTGATTCAACAAGTCTAAAAAACCGTGATACTATCGTTAAAAGCAAGTAAAAACTCAAAGCTTTATGCAGATTATTTTTTAATAACTTTAAGGACTAATAAAAAGTATTCTGAAACGTTAATAACAATTCTACGACTCAATACTATTAAGTCATGAAACAACTCTCCATCCATCTATGCATTAAATATTAAATAAATTATTACATTATCTGTAATTATCCATTGAAAAATTGTTTATTTAGAGATAGAAGTTCCAAGTGATAATGCCAACTTCTACTAAATAAATCGTTTCAAAATAATCTAAAATTATTGCAAAATATTATTTTTTTTGTAATAATTTTCGACTAACGATTTTTTTAGTCCAAGCAAGACTTGTTTGAGAACTTTTCTCCGTGGATTAAGACTATGAAGAGATAATTTTCCCTTGTGCTAGGTACGTCCTACTAGCCTCAACTACTGAATTAAATTAATTCCAACTGATTGTGGGGGAGTGTGAGCATTCACAGGCGCATGTGCAGTGTAACATTCACTAAACAACAGAATTCTGCAAGTTACCACATTGCCACTGCGTGCCGCCAATCAACAATTTCATCTCTCTGGATTTACAATTTTGCAAAGTCTCCTCTGATCGATAAACTCCAATGTCCATCGTTCATGAGAATGATCGATTATTATTCATATCTGATCGTATTACCAATATCATTTCGAAAATAAACTCCAAAGCAGTGGGGAACTCTCTTCTGGTGGCGATGGCAGACACTAAAAAATAAAGACCAATTTATTGCGCGCCTTCACTCCAACAACTTCGAATGCCTCGTTACATCGACTCGGTGATTATTATATTTATCATTCGTTTATCGGTGAAATGAGATACATTGTGGCACTTGACGTGGGAACCACAACCCTTCGAGCTCATGTTTTCGATGAGAATGCTGTCACTGTTGGAACTTTTGTACAGAAGGTATTGAAATATTTATTAGTGCATTTTTATTGTGATAAAGAAGAAATAAAATTCATTTTGAAGAGGGTGACGAGTTCATTTAGCCAATTTTCACGTTTCCGACGAATATCATTGAAGCTAAGAGAGATAGTGAAATTTTTGTCAGAACTTTATTTAAAGACCTCAGTTCACATTGTAAAAGAAGTGTTGTGAAAAATTGCGCTATCTTTTATGGATTCCAAGATATTCGTCGAAAACTTCACTAGCGGAATTATTATCCTTCATTATTATTTTTCAATTCATTTAGAAGGATACTGTCTTCTCTGTTATTATTTAATCCTGGAATTGCCTTTAGTTAATTTTTTTTCAATAAAGGGAGAATCTTTTTATGCTTTTTTCACGTTCCCTGAGTGAACAGTATATTTTTCCTACAACCTAAAAATCGAAGGAAGATAGCGAAATATTTATAAATACCTTGTCTGTAATTTTCGCGTTGATTCTTAAAACGCTACAAAAATATTTTATTATTTATTCCTTGTATCTAAGATGTTCATAACATTTCAATTGTAAATTTAATTTCCCTTACCGTTCTCTACTCGATCTATTTTTTTCAATAGCTTCAAATTACTGATGAAATTAAACAATTTAATAGTAAATCACTGCCATATAACCATAATTAATTATTGATTGTACTATCTGCCACGTTATCTCCTTATCATGTACAGTTGAGTGTCATTCATGAGGAATGAGGAATTTACTGCGAATTTTTGTGTATAGCAGGTCCTATCAGCCCGCTTGATTGTCTAAACGTTGTTGAGATATAAAACCGGTAAACTTCAAGGTAAACGTATACTGAGAAGCCTCGAGAAAAATTGTGAATTGTATTCCTTTATAAAACTCGTGAAGTTCTCTCTCATTTCCACTTAATTACTGTAATTATTGTTTTCTTCAGCGTAATTCCTTTGTTGCTGATTTTTTTTTCGCTATGATATCTTTGGAGTAGCTGAATGATCTAACGATGGGATTGATGTTTTTTCTATGGAAAGGTCGAGTTGATTTATCCGAAACCTGCTTTCGTGGAGATCGATCCTGATCAACTTTGGAGTGCAATTCTTCGGGTGTTAAAAGGGGCTGTTGATGGTAAAATTTGAATTTTTTCGAGAGAGCCGCATTGTAATTTTTTTCTAGAGTAGAGTATAACTACCTAGAGTATAACTATACCTAGAGTATAACTAGAGGCAGAAAAAAAGGCTTTACAAAAATGTCACTATCTCTTAGGTTCCAAGATATTTCTTGGAAACCCACATATTACGAAAATCCACTCATTACCCTTTACTTCTTCGCTAGTTACTTAATAGCTATTAAAAAAAATCATGAGCTCATAAAAACTGCAGATATTCACTAAATGATTCTCTCACTGATTTTGACCGTAAAATGTGAAAGGTCGAGAATTTTTGTCAATCAAACCTGTTAATTAATAGCTTTAATGAACGGTTTATTCCGGTGATAAATGTGATGTCATCTGCAGCAAGTGGAATCAGCGCAAAATGTATCGCTTGCCTCGGAATTTCTACACAACGCGGCAGTTTGATATCATGGAATTTAGAAACTGGAAGGCATTACCACAGGTGAGGGAAAGCATGATTGCCACGAACATAATTCGATTGGATCGATCAAGTGAGAAATTGATTGATTGATTTATTCATTGGCTCATTACAGATTCATAACGTGGAAGGACTTGCGAGCAGACTCGATGGTACGGGAGTGGAATTCATCATTGACGATGAAATCTCTCCGAATGGGATCACATATACTTTACACACTGACCCGCAAGAAACGGTTTCTTGCTGGAAGTGTACTGAAGCTTATGAACACGCAGGTTTGATTATTGTCGTTAATCTGTTTTCTTTTAATCATTCACTAAAAAAAGGGAGTTAATTCTTCTTTATGGAGACAATTCCGTTCAATTGAGATTGAAAATAGATATCCGATGGCCTTTTCAATGAGAATTTAAATCACCTGGACTCTCTGGGCCTCATCTAGAATTTTAAGAGAGAAAAGCGTTTTTGCATCAAAATGGAAATTTTCCATCAACACGGAGAGAAGCATTCAATCAATATTACGGAAATTCAGTTTCTTACCGGTTTCACGAGTGGTTAAGAAAATTCACGTTTCAATATCGAACTATCGATTGATTACACAGATATTTACCCCTTAGATGATACCAAAGCCATCAGAAATGGATAAAACAAAAATATTTGATAACGGGACTTTCCTCATTACGGTGAGAATTTTTATTGTGCGTATTTTTATTATTCCGTTTCAAGGTGTTTTATTATTAAATACGAGGTGAGCACGTCGAAAACTAACAGGTGATTGATGAAAGAAATCGACGACTAAAGAATTTGAATAGGGAGCCATCAACCATTTACACTGTTAAAAAAATCATCAACTTGTTGTTTACATACCGTGTTTTCGACACTGGAGTCTTGGTATACGCTGATGACTTTCTTTGATGAATATGCAGGGTTATCACTTGACGTTTACTATCCACACACATCTATGAATAATGCCCTGCGTTATTTATTCATGACCTCTGACTTGTTTCAGATGACTTTGCGCTTAGCTTGGGCACTCAATCACATTCCTGGATTGAAAAAAGCGGCTATGAATGGAAAGGCAGTGTTTGGGGGTGTGGATTGCTGGCTTTTGTACAAACTCACTGGTAATTTGATGAAAAATTTCAGTAGTAATACCACTAGTGCCCCAAAATTATTGAATTTTTTTCGGTAGCTCCGTCACCTAATGACGATTGCGTTAAATTTGGCGGGTTAAAAATCTCAAATGGAAAGCCCGGTTGAGGGATTTTGTTTGTGGGGGGGGGGATTTAACAATCTTGTTCCTATAGGCTTCAGGAAAATACGAGATACGAGAGATATCTTTCCAACCAGAGTTTGGCCAAACAGAATGCAGGGAATGGCATTTGGATGCATTTATACAATTATGCAGAAGAACAGAAAACTCTGAAAGACTAATTTGGCAATTGAAATAGAATAATTCGAAAAAAATTTTATTAACAATGCATAAAATAAATTCCTGAAGAAATAGAAAACTGAAAAAATAGATCCGTGTGGATTTCCCTATGGTTTATGAAGTTGGATGGGTTTAACTCGGTTTGGATGTGTGGACTATTTTTTCTTGGTCTATGTCTTCTGCCTATATGATATTTTTCTGAAGAATTATTTCTGTGGATCAAAATTTCGATTACGCGTTCCAACCGTTACCCAAAATTAAATAAATTTCTAACAGTGTATTTTTCCTCCTAATCCAGGAAAGCACATCACTGATGTCTCGAGTGCATCCGCATCAGGACTTTTTGATCCTTTCACGATGTGTTGGTCAGGTTGGGCCCAGAGTCTCTTCGAAATTCCAGCGTCGATGTTCCCCCGAATCGTTGATAATGCGGGGGATTTTGGCGAAACTCCCAGCGAAATTTTTGGTGTACCAGTTCCCATCATCTGTTGCGTAAGTATTACGACTTACATACGAGGTCAATTGATTGCATTGATCTTTTATTGATTTCTCCATGGCTTTCACAATCTTCGCGTCAGTTTGCCAATAAATATTAGACGGAAGTCCGAAATCAGATCGGAATAATCCAAATTTAATTCCATCAGGCGATTAATTGTGCGAATAATTTGTTTGAGAGAAGAACAAATTTCAGTACGAAATTATATTTTTTAAGGAAAATATTCCATGCTGAAATGATCTCTCGACGATTATTCTTCATATTTGTCTGATGGCTGCAGATCCAAATGCAAATTTATTCCGAAGCCGAATGAAATTTAGCAGTTGAAAAAATTTCACCTCCGGAGGAATATTCCTCTTCCCGTCGCCGTCGATTGCAAGAACAAGATTCGAATTCATTGAATTTTATAGATGGCTGATCAGGCAGCATCTCTATTTGGCTCTGGCTGCTTTCACCCAGGGGACCTGAAGGTCACCATGGGTACAGGAACTTTTCTAGACGTGAATACGGGATGTCAAACGCATGCATCGGTCGCAGGTGATCAGAAAATTTCGATATTCATTAATAATATAATCCCAAATTCGAGGGGCTAATCCTCTCAGAAATCGTTGAACCATTTCGCCACAATTGGAAAATCAATGAAAATGATAAAGGAATAGATGAGAAAATTACATAAAATTCTTAACAATTTTTTCACAATGAAACAATGATTCTGAAAAAATGTATCCAGACAATTTCATGACGATTCATCGATTAAATCGCTGGGATGTGTTTTAGCTTTTGCTCTACATCAATTGCAGGATTATATCCCTTGGTTGCCTGGAAAATAGACCAGGAATTGGTTTACGCAGCTGAGGGTGCGTCAAATGACACAGGAACTCTCATTGAGTGGCTCAAAACAATAGGTAAAAAAACGAAATCTCAACGAAATCCAAATGAAATCTCTGAATCTCTGAAAATCCGACCGCATAGGGCAATATTCCGGGACAGAATCACGAATGATTTAGATAATTTATGACACTGTTGCAGGTATTATAAAACAGCCAGAAGAATTATCGGATCTGGTGCATTCCGTAGAAAATTCTGATGGCGTTTATTTCATTCCAGCCTTCAGTGGCTTACAAGTGAGTGATAATTTGAAAGGATTAATACCAAGGATTGTGTTGACGTGTTCCACTAAGAATAGAATCTATAAGCATATGAGTTCCCCCTTTGAAACCATTGATTTTAGAGGAAAACATCAAAAGAACTTGTTTGTCGGAGATTTAATCAGCTGAAGGAAAGTGTTTACAAGATTTTCTATGAAATTCAGAGTTTGCGAGATAAATCGGTGATTTGGGGAACGATTTTATTCGACATATGTAATTTTATCGCTAATGATTTGGTCGAAAACAAAATCCATTGCGTTTTGTTGCTTTTGTTTCAATAAAATGAGTGAATGATTGGTTTAATTACTTTGTCTCAGGCACCAATTAATGATCAGTCAGCAGCAACAGGATTTTTAGGCGTCAAACCAACGTCTGGAAAAGCACATATGGCTCGAGCCGTTCTGGAAAGCATTGTATTTCGAATTTTGTTGTTGTACGAGTCACTCTGTACGGAAACACGCCGAAGTTATAGTTGCATTAGGTAAACAAAATATTATAAATACAATCCTATGGATATTTAGTAATTTTCATATAACTTTTTTATTTTCTAAAGAAAATCTCTTATGGTTTTCAGTTGATAGCAGAACAGAATTAATTTCTGTGATGCTAAAAATAATTAATTGCGAGAGTTTTGGCTGAAATAAGTAAACAACTTTTTGCTTATCTACAGACATTTTTCATTTGAGAGATCTATGAAAATACTAACTTTATGTTGCTGTATATAGGAACATCGATAAATTGTGAAATTTATTACAGTGTAGATGGAGGTGTTTCCCAGAATGACTTTGTACTGCAGTTACTCGCTGATTTGACTGGATTGCGAGTCGAAAGACCGTCCACCACAGAAATATCAATTCTAGGAGTCACGTTTCTTGCTGGACTTCAATGTGGTAATTGTACTTCTTCAACTCCATCTCAATAACTAATTACGACTCTAACTTTTAATTCTCTCGTTACAATGTTGCATGAATTTCTCATGACTACATGCTTTTCATACCACAAACAATTGACTGAAGTTGTGAAACTCGACAAATTCAAACCGAAATTAATATATATATTTCGTAAATACATTTTGAATTATTACATTCCTGCCGAGAAATTTAGTGAAAATATCCGTTGGATAATTAATCCGTAATTCTGCTATATTTTTTTCGATTTCTATTAATTTTCTTTTCATATTCATGTCTTGCATTTTTAATTAACTTGCCTGAGTTCTTCTCTTTAGGTATTTGGAAGAGTAAAGAGGAGATCAGAGAACTTCGAAAAGTCCAGACAGTCTTTGAACCAAACAAATCGAGGGGAATCTTGTATCAGTCGACAATAAACCAGTGGAAAAGGGCGATCGACAGATTCCGCAATTGGTATTGATAGAAACGCCCATCGAGTACAGTTTAATCCTAACAATATATTTTTCTATGAAATGTTCGTCTCTAATCTACACTGAGAGATAAGAAAAGGGAAATGGATATATAGAAGTCCTCCAAAGAATTTTTCAACGAAACTGAGCTAATAAAAAAATAAGAGAATCAAGAATAAAATTAAGTCAGACTCAATTAGATAGAGAATAACTTGAAGGGGATGACCAGATAATATTATAACATATGAATTCATATGAATTATACAAATCATACACCTTCAGAAGGGAAGGGAAGGAGAAAGTTCCGTACATCTATCCAAGCATAAAAAAATAGTAATTTTATGCCTCGAAAATTAATTCGTTTAATGCAACTAAGTTCTATAATAGGAGTTATTTTCTATAAGTTGAGCCTAAAGGAAAATCACAATTGCCTTAGTCTTGAGGAAAAACTTTGAGAAGGTATAATAGCTGATTATCCAAAAAATTTCTCAAAATTAGTGTAAATTTAATTGAGTCTGCGTTGTTGAACCAATATGTGCCTAAAAGATAATAGTAATAATCCTAGAGGAAATTTTTGAAGCCATTTACAATATTGCAAAATGTTAAGAGAGTCATTTTAGAGTCATTTTATGATGAAAATATTATCACCGAGGTGCGCTGATCGTTTTTCACAAGAATGGTGAAAAATCGAAGAATTGTTGTTATTCTCTCCAGACATTAGAAGAGATAATTTAATAGAAAAAAAGGAAATAAAAAAAATACGACACTTCATTCAATTTTTTAATGCCACTTTTCCTAATGTAATCATGCGATTTAATCAGTCAATAAGTTCCTGAGAAATATCTCTGAATCAAAAATAAAAAGGGATTTTTTCGGCAGGGCTTTTTTGCAGCTTCCATTCCATTCTATAAATGTGGCTCTAAGAAAAATTATGCCAGTTCCACTAGATTCCGATATGTTATAAATATTTAATTTGCAAATTTAGAGATATTCATCTGAGATAATAAAAATTCATATAGTAAAAAGATCGACATTTTTCCTGTATTTCGTCTCTACAAAATCAGTTGGTTAAAACGAATGTGAGAAATATAAATTATCGGGAGATCCGCCACCTAATCGTTTTAGTTTGTCGAAAATGAAACATGGGACATGAGTGTCTTATTACAAAAAGACAGGGAGACCGCTTGCTCTGCACTTTTGACACTCGCCAATATTTTCTGTATCCTCGACGTTCAGACTACAGTTGATAAGTGATTGCAGTACACCTAATCAACTGTAAAACCTATCATTAACTAATGATCCTAGTAATAACAATACCAGATCAGTACACCATTCGTTCATCTATGTTAGGTGAAGTAGTTTTTACTCAAATGGTTTATTTCAAATAATTATTTCCGGAACTAGTGCGAATTGTGAAGAAATCTGCTGTTATATTTTGTTACAGTGAGTAATGCACTTCGCTGACTTTTCCTGTAATGTTTGGAGACAATCAGTTCACGTTTAATTATCGGGAGAAGTGAAACAATTTCGTGTGGTTTCTCAATGCACCAAAGACAATCAGACAGCGATCGCTCGTTGGCTTCCATTAATTACCATATTAATTAACTGTTGTCTCCCTTCATCCTCTTTCCCTCGATTTTTTATTCTCTTTCTTAACGAACACTGAACAGGGGGCGGATGAGTTGCGTAAGAACCTTCGAACGATGAAGTTGCTCTTTTAGAATATAAAACTGAAAAGTTCAATCAAAGTAGAGTTTGCTCATGCACCTGTGATCAGTTGATGCGATTTTCTCCAGTTAAATAATTATTTTAAGTTTCTTCGTTTATTTCCGGTGTTGGAGCAGGAAGTCCCTGGATATTATGGTGCGTTGATCTCTCATTCCTTTTTTTTCGAAGGAAACGCGCGTCCTTTCTCTCGAGTGTTGAAGTCGAGAACTCCAGTTATTAATGATTCAGTGGAGAAGGCAGTCTTGTAGGAACTAGCTGACGGGGTCAGTCGGTATTTTCCTAGGATGATGATTGTATACTTTTTTTTTGTCCTCATTGTGGTGCATGGGACATGAGAAAATCCTTGCGGTTTGATAAAATGTGACTTTCAGTCGTTTCACTTGGGGTTTTGGGAGTTGATGTGAGTAGTGAGGGCTTCTTCGAGGGCTTTCTTTTTTTTGTATTGTTTCACACTTTGTCCCGAGGAATGTGGAGGTTTTTTCCCATTTTGGTAGATATTTTTCCTCTAAAATCGAGAAACAAAGTTGATGACCCTGGAATATTGATTAAGATTCATCGAAATTTATGTTCACTCAGACCTAATGTAGAAAAATCAAGTTCAATTTTTGAGAAGAGTCTAAAATAGAAGGCTACCTTGGAAAAGTACGTTCTGAATCACATTAAGAGTGAATGCTAATTCAATCAAAATATTTGAATAATAACAGATTAGTTTCAGGGAATATTCTCTAAAATTAAACTTCTGTTCTTACATTGTCTGCGGTATTACTTATAATCTACTTATAATGAGTTGTTTTTTAAAATAACTACTGACGCATGCGTTTGATGCATGTTGAAAATTGAAAAATGCACTTTAAATTGAAAAATTGTGGTTTGTGCTCTTAATTTTTTCTATCAATATAAGAAATAACACAATCATAATGATGATTCAAATACTTGCGCTTCTTAAAATCTCCAAAGATGAAATTCAGCTGATAAAATTTCAATAATTCCAGAATTCAATTTTTTATGAATTTATGTTGCTGTGTTATTATCAATTAATTGAAATATTGATTATAAACACTTGACTTCTGGTATTCCTAGAACTCTAACGATTTTATCGATAAAACTACTGACGGAATAGTCAACACTCGTGGTGTTGTGTATTTTTCTAACGATCGCTCGGTGATCCTTGCAGGCTGAGGTAACTGTTGATATAATCGAGCAAACAGACCAGGAGAGACCAGAGATGACTCGAGAACCGGTGGAGTGTCTCATCGATATGGAGGAAACTCCGGATGTGGATGCTGATCCAGGTGAGAATCATCTTAATTATCAATTCACTTAATTAATAATCAGATAATTTCATTCCATGTTGGAATCAATATCAATTCAATCTCTTATATTTCCACGTCCAAAACAATATGAAGAATATATTTTTGATGCGGTTCATCCAGACATGGATAATTAATTAATAATTGATAAATACATCATTCCACTTGATTCTCAAAGCAAAATCCTTTGAATAAATAATTTTTTCGGATTTTTTCGAATTTTCTAGGGTAAAAGAAAATGAAAAACATGGATGAAACATGTATTTTGCAGATTTTTGAAGACTAATTCATTTTTTTATTGAAGTCAAATATTTGAAAATTAAGTTGAGTAGAAATTCTATGGCCAATCTATTATTTTTCCATTAATGCCACTGACAAACTCTTCCATGAAGAAACATTAATAGATTCTTTCTTACTATTTTCCTACGATAATCAATTGATACAAATTTCAAAATTTGTGAGCAATTTTCGTAATTAAAAATGGAAAGAATCATTTGTGAAGAAATATAGAAAAATACCCATTTTTCGATTGACCATTATCTTTTGAATTAAAGAAAGAGCTAAGTACTAGATAATATTTGCGTAGAATGCGGAAGATTTCAAATGGAGATGCAGAAAATGCAGATTTTTAAAATGAATGGTTTCGCATGTGGTGAGACGAGATCAAGAATTTTTTGCCTAGCAAATTGTCGAAGAAATTATTCTCACTTAAAATTCTAGGAAAAAAAAGTGATTTATCTTCAGAATGATTGGATTGATTTCCATTTTTTATTTATCGAGGTCATTGGAAAATGAATACTAACCGCGAGGAGCGACTGAAGTCCTGAAATGAATTGATTACAAAAAAAACCATAGGAGATGATTATGAATAGTTTTTATTTCGTATAGTTAAAACTTTGTAGTCGATTAGATGAATGGAATAGATTAATCGATGAATGAAGTTTACGATTTTCAATTTTCACTGGGAAAATGCGTTAATGCAATGAGTACTTAAATTGTTCGATTCTAAAAAAAATTGTTCATTATATTTATTAATTATATCCATGAATAGCATTTTGTATTCAAGAAGATTAATTTAATAATTTAGACAATTTTGATTAATTTCATTTTTCGATTAACAATATTACTTTATCAATCGAAGAAATGTTTTCTTTTTAAAAATAAAAGTAAAACTTGTATTAGAGAAATAAATGCCATGCCTTCAATCACGAAAATTATAGAGACAATTTTCACAATTATTTAGTTTTTTAATATATAGAAGGCTTGCCCGATAAAAAAAAAGTTATCACTCCTTCGATATTACCCCTTATTACTCACCTAGTTAGGGATCTTCCAGTCCAATGAATAATAAATACCTTTTGCGACTAATCAATTCTGTCAGGTGGTTGACTATAACGAGGTAGTTCTAAAGACTATGCAGAGCCTTGGAAACAAATGGTGAATTTTCATCGTTAAAAATCCATTCCATGCAGTGGACACTAATTCGTATTAAAATTTATTAACTTTTATAATTTAATAATTTTGTTTAAGCTATTAAAAATTTTCGTCTTCAGCTTTCACAGCTGAACCCCGGAGATTCTAATCAGGAACTTCATTCCAATTTTTTAATTTCCATTTGCTCAGTCCTCAGGAAAATTGGGGGAAATCTTGTTAGTGAAAAATCAAATATTCCATTGTCTTTCGTTTTAAAAAATTAGAAAATCTAATGCCACAATCTAATTATGCCGTGATAATAATTAAAAATTAAGAAACAAGAGAAAAATTGAAAATTCTGTTAAATTTCGCTGAAAACTTATGAGTTACCTTGAACCAGACGACAAACGTTAATTTCCGTACCTTAAATTTGTCCTTTAAATACGATGATACTCTTCTGAGAAAAATTTCTGTATTTTCTATATGAAATGAACAAAAAATTTTAATAATATGAAAATATCCTATAATTTTCACTACTTACATGGAACAACACCACTATTACAATCAATGTCAGGGTCGTATCTTTTTTTCATAAGGAGATAAATGACTCATTATCATTAGCTTCGATGAGAATTAATTATTCCTGAGATTGAAGTCTCTGCCTCGAGATCTTGGCACAGTTAAACAAGGCCATAGTCTTTCTTTTTTCTCAAATATTTGAGTGCGCAAAGCTTGCATTTCTATACTAAAATGCAAGTATTTCTTGTTTTATAACTATCTCCGATTTTATAATTCATGACTTTTCAATAACAATTCCATTCTATTTCTCACATTTCCTCTTTACTATGTCGTTAGTCTGGCCATTCTAATTCTTTAAACCCGCCAATTTTCTTTTTCGTTGAAATAGGTATTTTTTTATGCATGAATTTCCACTTAAAAGAGTGGAAAATTGCTCTTTCATTATACAGTAATGGCAATTATCTCATAATTTCAACGGCTTACCATCGAAACTATCTTTCAATTGCTAACATTAATACAACGGTTATTGCCATTACTTCCCTCTTTCGAATCGCTTAAGAAAAAATGGAAACATTTTTTAAACCATCATTAGAGTATTTCATAACATTTCTTCTTCAGTTATCGTTAAAAAAACTGATTAAAAAATATGAAAAATTGAAAAAATTTGTAAATTAACTGAATCCTAATTACTATCGACGACTAGGTTTCCTCAATACTTACGTTTGAGAAGATAAATGATTTTATTTCACGGATACATTCGCCCAATCGGAGATGAAGTGTGAAAAATCTGTTGCATATTAGGCTGATATAATATAAACAATAAGAAACTCAAATTTGATTTCTTAAAAAGCTTCGATTGGAAAACGTTGGAAAAATATAATTTCAAAATATTTTGTATATTTCCCAGTTTTCACTTTCCTTTGAATTTTTTCGGATCAGAGCGAGAATGGTTTTTTTAATCTTATATATTTAGGTGAAGTATGATAAGAAGAAAAACTATAAGATTTATTTTTTATTTTTTATTTATTATTTTATTGATTTTTTATTTATTTATTAATTCTTTAAAAACGATTTGAAAAAAGGTCGAAACAGACAGTCTCGCGCTAATACGTAAAAAATTTAAAGAAAAGTGAAAGTAGGGAAGTGCTGCCATCTGATATCGAATGATTCACTAACTCGATGGAACCGGTTGTCATGGACTTATAAAATACACACACACAAAATCCATCGAGTTGAAAAATACCACACACATGCAGATCGTATCATTATCTCTTCCCACTTTTAGCTCAGTATTGCTTGGTATATGAGTTATGAAACTTATAAACTCATGTAATTTCGATCTCGAAGGCATACGTACCAAAGTAAGTCGAGAATATCTCCGTGCAGTTGTCCATTGATGTGTGGAATTTTGTAGTTGCTGCTGTTTGACATCTGTCACGGTCATTGTTGGATTAAAAATATCTATCAACATTTACAATGGGTAATTCGTGCTGTAATTTTACAATAAATCATTTTGTTCATGTACCTTTTCTGGTCTTAACGTACCACAATTACTCCCTCTTTGATCATCATGATGTCATTTTTTTCGTGATTATTCTGGAATTGATCATTTATTGTTTTTGAGAATGGGATAGCTATTTTTGCTCCATGAAATGGCATCTATTTTCCACTTATGTGATAACTATATAGATTTTGAGTCGGTATTTTTCATTCTTTCGAATTGTTGCCGGCCTGGAATGCAAATAATCACTCTTATTATCGAATAATTAAGATAAGAACCGCCTTTTGCATCTTCCTTTGTCACGATAACTGTCTTTGCTGAAAGTATTTTTTTTTCTTTAGATTATGAGTAATTTTTTCGCAATAAGGAAAATACGATTCCAGATATATTCATCGAAATCGACTCGGTTATCTTTAATTTTACCTAATTGTAATCATTTGCAATTAGGGTCGTTAAAATTAATTTTTTTTTTGCTATTGACCGAATCTATAATGCATAAACATTTCCAATTCCTTTACGCCTGTGATAAAAAACGTCGAAATTGTCGTTTAAATTTTTCACACGTTAGTTTTTGCCTAATAAAGGAATTGAAATAAAAGTTTTTGCTTTATTTATTTTATTCATTCTATTAATAACATTTGGTTAATCGTACAACTTTTATAATTATTCATAATTAATTAATTAAATCTTCATGCAGTGATAGAGAGCTGGTACATTCATTCAATTTCACACGGGGAGAACAATTTCAGAAAAATTACGTGCCTGTTTGTACTGTTCATTTTTCCATCGAATGTTCAGTGAAAAAGTGCATAACTATTCCGTAATTTTTACTGTTTGGACGGGCAGATTACGAAACAGGCACGTAATCTATATATGAAAGTTTTCTCTCCGTACATATAGCCAGATGTCAGGGAAATTTATCTGCAATAAATAAATAAGATAAACAGAATAACAGTGGTTCGCGTTCTACTTGAAACTTACAGATCAAATGAATGGAACTCGAACGATGAATAATTACAGTGATGTAAGTTCTCTTATTTAACTCATTTGACAGTGCACTTTTCGTGAATAATTAATATTTGTTGTATTGCAGCTCGTGCAAAGAAGCAGAGATGCGTTTCTCAGTGGAAAAACACGATCGCTGGAATGGAGAATGAAACAGCTCAAGCAATTACAGAAAATGCTGAATGAGAATAAAGCGGAAATAATTGCAGCATTGGCAAGCGATTTACGAAGGGTGAGAAATTATTCATTCGCAAAATAATAAGGGCGAATAAATTCTACAATTTTGTTAAGTATCTCTTGACATAAACAACTAATCATTTTAACAGAAAATATTAAGTCTATTATATTTTCATCGGATCTCTATTTCTATTAGTCTTTTTTATATTGACACATATAGATAGTTTACTAACAGAAAAACGTATGTACTCAAATATTATAGAACTAACAGTGAAAGTGCGGATATTTGTTTTTCCAAATTCTTGAATTTGAATTCTTTAATATTTATATTTATTTTTTCTTTTACTTGATGTTCGTTTTATCAAGCGAGTCTCAACACGTATGGGCTACTGACAAGGTCACTGCCTATCACACAGAAATGGTAATTCGTTTCTACCCAACAATAGTACGAATTTAGCTGAACTAAACATCTTATGATTGTATGAATTCTAGAATTTTTCTATTCAAGAATTTAAATATATTCAAACCCGCCATTATTCAGGTCTCCGTATCTAAACTGGTGTGACATTCCTGTTAATATTCAATTATTTTATTTGATGTTTGGCACCATAAATTCTTTTGTTATAATTATCAACAAAGGATTTATGCGAAAGCTCTACAGTTTTTCTGCCCATGTATTGACGGATAAAAATGATGTAATTCTTCTTCACAGAGTAAATTCGAGACAACAGTATTGGAGATCGATACAGCCATGGGTGATCTCAAGTTTATGATGATGCATTTGAAAGAATTCTTAGCAGTGGAAAAGGTAACCTTGGAGCATATTGATAGTATCGGAAAATAAGTTTATTCATGAGATTTTAGAGAGGAAGAATGAATTATTTAAAACATGTTTTTCAGCCACCAAAGGGTATTGTGAATATGTTTGACTCAGTTGAGATACACAAGGATCCTTACGGGGTTGTGCTCGTTATTGGTGCATGGAATTATCCACTACTTTTGAACATAAGTCCGTTCATGGGTGCTATTGCTGCTGGAAACTGCGTCATTCTGAAACCATCGGAAATATCTGCAGCAACTGCTAAACTTCTTGCTACTATTATTCCAAAATATCTTGATACAGTAAGTCCATAAACGTAAATTTACATGGGGTTGAGTAATACGGGCATCGTTGTATTTAAATTGGTGTAGTGGCAAGTAGTACTTTTGATTGTTTTCCTCGGATCACAGAATCACTATCTAAAATTATCAATGCTTTCGTGAAAATAATTTAACTGTTATCAAACTCTATGTAAAATTGATGGTTTCGAAAATATCATTTTTGTAGTGTTTAACGACGTAATAGATTCACTATTTTTAATTTACCACTATTTTAATGATTAGAATTCTAAGCGTACTTGATGATGTATATCATTAGATTTTTTTAGCATTATTTATGTTTATAGTCCCGAACGGAAGCATTATGCTCGGTCAATTTGAAGTGTCCAATTTTTAATGTTTGAGTGATTAATTGCGGGGTTGCAAATCTTCATACAAATCTATGATTGAATTGACGAGAAAATTCTTCATAGACGATTCAAAAAAGAGGTGTTCATTTTCATTTAATAGCAGCTGCAGTGTTGATGTCGGCGCAATGTAGGCCTAACGTTGATCCAATTTGAGTCCAATATTCGGTAAACGCTACCCCAATGTTGGTTCAATATTAGGCAAAAGTTGATCCACGGTTGGATCGTTTATTTTTAGAATTATTTATTTAATGCTATATGAAAAGCGTAACCTTGGAAGGATATTGCTAATCTATCTATTTTTGGAGAATCTCGCTTGAAAGTTTATCAATCGACTCGCTCAATGCTAAATACTGGCTTTATCTATTTACTTAAGTTTAAACAAACAAAAATGTTAAAAATTTAATGGGTGTTCATCTTACCTCAGGCTTCTCTCGATTTAGCAATGTAGATTTTGAGTTAAATGTTTATGTGATGATTTTGATTTCCCAAATTAAAATATGATCAGAGCGACCATTACTCCCCTCTCAATAAATGCATGAATAAATGATGATAGAACAAAATATTCATGAACTACGTGAAATCATGCGTGCGTGAACGTTTTTCTAGTACTTCCAATTTCTAGATACGATAGGCTTGATTGAAACGTTGTCGTTACTTTTTTTTTAATAATAATCGTTCATCATTCTTTTTTGTAATTAGGTTTTTGGTTTATTCAGGAATGTTATCATGTCGTCTCCGGAGGTGTTCCGGAAACAACCGAACTGTTGAAACAAAAGTTTGATTATATTATGTACACTGGATCGAATGCAGTCGGAAGAATTGTTCGCGAAGCAGCTAATAAATATTTGACACCAGTGACGTTGGAACTTGGCGGTAAAAGGTACAAGAATACGAATCATTTGTTGAATTTCAAAATTCTCAAACACAGTCATTGTCTCGAAGTTTCAAACTTCATTAAATCGAAATTTGCAATACCATTTTTTATAATAACTCTTCATAATATTGTTTCATGGATATTTTTAGAGATATTTATAAATTTTTTTATTTTTGTTTATTCTTATTTAGCCCTGTGTATCTGGACAATACAGTAGATCTGCCAGTAGCAGTTAAGCGCATTCTTTGGGGAAAGTTCGTCAATCTTGGACAGACATGTATTGCCCCAGACTATGTACTTTGTACTAAAGAGGTTCAGGATGCGTTTGTCGAGGAAGGAAAGAAAATATTGAAAGAGTGGTACGGGGAGAATCCTAAGGAGAGTCCTGACATGGCACGCATAATCAACGCTAGACATTATCAGTAAGTTTGTGTTTATCATTAATGAGTTTGCCCCAAAAATAAATAGTACTGAGGCGAATTTGTAAGACTCGCCACATGCAACTTCTAATGACCAGTCCCCTAACGGTGGGATTCGACTGAAATCGTTTTGCCTAAAATCATTTCGCATAATATTCTGATTGCATTAATGTCAACTATAATTTATACCTTACATGCCAAAAATAAATGAAATAACAAACAAAAATAAATACAGCAACATCATTGATTACATGAGAGAAATCAAGATACTTTTCATCAAAAGGGCCAAGATGCTAATAAAGACAATGCTTCATACAGTAGAAGACACTATATCGAAGCAATACCACCATTTTTCAGATAATATAGATGAAATGATTTAGGCAATTTGGGATTTAGGCCAATTGAAATTACACGAATTGTACAAAAACTTATACGAATTACGAATCAACAGATTACTGATCCTTTCGTTATAATATAACACTTTAAGTTTTCACTGATTATTTTTATTGTGAGCATTAAAATTGATTAAAAAACAAATTAATATCCCTTGCAGACGTTTGATGAATTTGATGAATAGCGGTGGTAAAGTGGCAATAGGCGGTGAGACAGATGCCCAGGAGAAGTTCATTGCTCCAACTATCTTAACGAACGTCCAGCCAACAGACCCAATAATGCAGGAGGAGATATTTGGGCCACTTCTGCCAATTGTCAATGTCAATAACGCATACGAAGCCATTAAATTTATAAATGAACGGTGAGTAAATCGGTATTGATGTTAAGGTATAACAACGAATAACATAGTCCTGCGGAATTGAGCCCGAAACAAAGTTCTGTTCTTCGTCACTTCGAAGGACAAATAATAAAACTGTACATAAATTGTTTGAGAAAACACTTTCACAGATGTCAATAGAGGAATCAGGTTTTTCCTTTCTAGACTCAGAAAGTGGTGGAATTTTATCAATTATTTTTAATCCTCGAAGGGTATATGAGCTCTGTAACAGCTTTTGTGTGAATCTACGATAACTTCATTCCTATAAAGTAACTTGTTCTCTTCAATTGATTATTTAATTATCCATTTTTCGAATGAATAGCGAGTGCCCCCTCACGATGTACATATTTACCAAGGACAGTGGAGTACGTAATTTGATAATTGATCAAACCCGGAGTGGTTCGATATGCGTCAATGACACGATTATGCAGTTTGCGGGTGAGTCAGGGCATCTCTTTTGGGGTGGAGGATGGTTCTGTTTCTTAACCACTAACTGTTATCTTCCCTTACCATTCCAACCATCTTGTTTTATTTGAAATTCAGTGAGACCTTTTTAGGATATTTGTAGAAAATCACAAGTGTTGACAAAAAATCTTTTGTTTTTTTTAACTGAGCGGTGAATTTGACAGACTAGCAATCACGTGATGCAATAGATGATTTAACATGCTTGAAATTCAGGTGTGACGTTAAGCTTCAGGCATACTGAAAAAAGTATGAAAATATTTCTAGATTGTCTACCGTTCGAGTTTAGTTTGAGTTAGTCCTGGCTTTATATTTTCCCATCTTCTGAGGACCATTCTGGACGAAAATTAATTAGTTGTTTAGTAACAGTGCTGTTGAAACGTGAAAGAGGGACTCGTTTCCTTTCGTCGTTTCACCACTTTCCTGTTAAATAAAATTTCTCCTTCCAGCTCCTCCTATCATTATCTTACGTCATCTAATAATTTTCTTTCGCATTTTATTTTTTCTGTCCTATTGCTAAAATAACACGTGGTGCAGGGAGAAGCCTCTAGTATTTTACGCATTTTCTAAATCATCGGAAACAATTCGAAATATGCTGGAGAATATTTCCAGTGGTGGTGCATGCATTAATGATTGCATTGTTCATCATGCAGGTATAAATGGTGTAGTTTTGTAGTTCATTTAGACTATATCCATATACATCTGATTTTGCTTAGCGCTAGTGAAGTCTATTTTTGGTGAATGCCATTCAAAAACAGCAAATGAATTTTTATGAATACGAATGGATCATACATGGACTCTTCTTCAAGGTCCGCATGCACTATCTAGCGAACATAATGCGTAGTTATTGTAAAATATTTCAAAATTTGCATTTCAAATTGAGTTCCGGAAATCACTCCACAAAACTATTGATAAAAAAAGAGGAAAAAAAGTATTTTTCATCATTCAACAACTCTTTATCTCTTTTATAATTATTTTTTATAACCTCTAGAGTGGTATCTACAACACAAGTTGAAATCCAAATTTATCAATATTTCAAGCGAATAGGTTTGAATTTTCACCAAAAATTACGTTTGATCGATAGTACATGCGGGCCTTAAAGAACCATTCGATATCTGCAGCTTATATCATTTGAGAAACAGCAAAATGGGCTAGAGCATCTTTTAGATTTGATGGGTTGAATCAAATGATAATTATTTTCATTTCTTAGTTGATGAACTTCCATTCGGTGGAGTTGGAGAATCTGGAATGGGTTGTTATCACGGTCGTGCGACTTTCGATACATTTGTGCACAAAAAGTCTGTTCTCGTCAAGGACTACAATCCCATCGGTGAAGCACTCGCTTCGTAAGTATAATCGTTAATATCATCTCATAATGCGACTGACTTTCACGAAAATTATTTTTGAGTGCGTGGTTTTTACGAAATTTCCAGCTCTCGATACCCACCGTATTCAGACCGAAAACTGTCGTTCCTCGGTTTGTTACTGGCAAAACGACCTGATATCCCTGGGATCAAGTATCTACCTCATCTAATAATGTTTGGACTCGGTGTTATCGTTACTATTGGGATCAAAGCTGCCATCAAGGTACAAAAAACGACACACTAGATAATTAATAATGTAGTTTGTTGAGAAGGTGCGATCAGTCCAAAATTCATTTGAAAATATTGAACAGTACAATATGAAAATGACGGGAAATTTCGTTGTATTATTTCCTGCAATTGCGCCTGTGCTAGATAATCGTTTATTTAATAAATTTCTCAGCCAAGGGCATGAACAGCTTTAGACAGCTTTAGACAAGCAAGATAGAAACTAGAAAATATGAGAGAACAAATAAGTAGAGTCTTTTTTCAAAATTTTATCGAATCAAAGGTTTATTAACATTTATATATTATTTATCAACATTTATATATTGGGTAAATAATGATAGAAATTTCGAGACTCTTCCAGGAGCTTCCATCACTTACTACAGAATTATCTCTTTGTCTTCCATTTTATAAAATTTTTTTACTGTGATATTTGATATACACTTGATATACGAAAATGCTGGGAGAGTCGACGATATTTGGGACATTTTTTAAAGACTTTATGTGTGTTTGGCGAATTTTCTACAAAGATTCTTGAAGATTCTTTACAATCCAATGATTGTTAATTATTGTACATTCTGTCACCCACACTTGCGCACAAAAATTGTCTGTATACTGTAATTAATAAAGCTATTCCCTGGTTTAAAAGTGCATTGAATTCTTCACCATTCATAAATTTTAACTATTTATTCAATTTCACCTCATATAACACTATTTCCCTCTAGCTTTCACTTATTATGTTTGTTGAAGTAATCATTTATCTGGATGTCAATATAATTTCAGGAGTATGGATACCGAGACGACAATATGTAGAGGCTGGAACCCTCATGTTTTTGGAGGAGAAAAATAAATTATAAAAGCGAAATGGCAAAATAGTTCGAGTCAAGTGAATTCTTTGTGAATGAAGTAAGTTTGAGGTGAGAAGAACGGGAAAGTTGAATATAAATACAACTCTCCTGTTCTCTTGGAAAAAAAATCCGCACGTTTTTTCGGAAAATAAATTCCTATAAATGTGCTTTCGGCTATCGGACTATTTTATGATTTCGCGATTGTATAATCCACGTAGCATGAAACATCACAAGTGATTTTTTACCACGAGTCATAGTAATAAAAACCACAAGATAACAACGATAGAAAAGGGTGACAATTACTTTACATTTTGATATTTTTTATTTTTGGTGGATGAACATAAACATCACTAGGAATAGTCATTTCGATATTGAGTAAGTGAGGGATATGTTTAAAATAGAAACTGGAAGCTCTTGTATTACATAACAAATTTCCAGTCGTTAATAAAAATATTGCATATCTAAATTACCTATTTAGCATGAGCCATTCCGAATGTAATTGTTTTTAATGTAAGAGAATTTCTTTAACATGATTTTATTATTTTGTTTATGTTGCAATGTAATATATATATTCTAATAAAAAAAATGTCTACGACTACGACCTTATATTTATCATTGATTCGTCATTGGTTATTCATTGCCTATTAATCAAGTGGAGCGATTCATCAAGAAAATTTGTCACAAAGGAATATTTATTTAAAATAATTGAATCAATTCGAAGAAATTGATTACGCTGTCGTTTAAACAATTTCAACGTTTTAAATCTATAAAAAAAGTATTCCTCTCCAAGAAGAGAGAAATCCTAATAAATTCTGCCCTGTTCTGGCTAATTGACCCTATCTCACCCTATGTATGCGGCTGCCGATCCTACACTGTACCGTATTCACTCTCCCGTAGAACATAGGAGTGACATGGGAAACCACAGAAAAAACCATGTCGCTACAGGCGGTTGCTCCATTAGCAACGCCCCATCGGTGTCGAATCGCTCATCGGTGCCTGTTGAAAAGGGAAATCGAACTTAAAATTTTCAGAACACTAGGCTCGCACCTAGCCACTAAGCTACCGATCTCGGTTTAAGCCACTATTTTAATAGAAAATTATGAACTGAATAAACAAATTATCACAGTTTTTGGTACAATTTACCCAATTTTTCATTGAATCTGTATAAGTTTCGCAGATATTTCCAAGACAAATGGTATTGAATCCTCAAAATAAATTTTTTGCTTTCAATTAAATCCGGGTGTGATAAGACAGAATTGGATAAAGCACTCAGTGAAATAAATGAAATAAAAACCGACAGACAGAATTTAGTCACGTTCACGAATATAGATGAATTAAATAATCGCGAAATGCGTGTGAACATCACGTACGAGTGAGAATTCCCAACTGATGATTCGACTGCAATGAACAGTTATCATTATGGCAATCACCAGGAATTAAGTAGATTGAACATCGCGAGGAGGGGAGGCGGACGTATATAAGATGCATGCTATATTCATTTGCATAAACATTAATTGCTCTTGTTATCGACGGTTTACCTCTTTTAGCAATGAGCCTTTCGAAGCTTTTTGCCTTGACAATTTTGGCAATTACTCTGATTACAGTTGAGAGCGCGGATTCTTACACGACCGCTTATGATAAAATCGACTTTAATGCGATTTTGCGTAATGAGATAATTTATAAACGGTACCTGAATTGTCTGCTCCATAAAGGGCCATGCACTGCTGATGGGGAAGCTCTCAGAGGTGAGAAAATCATTTTTTATTTTTTATTACTTCTTCTTTATTCATAAAAAAAGTAGTCCAACGTTTTACCGGTTGGCAAGCTCTTTAAATTTTATTTAGTAATAATAATACCCCTCAAAATATTCCAACCAAATATATTATAAATATACTACCTCGAAAATATTAGCTCGAAAAATTTCACAAGTCGCGATATATTACAATACTATATGATTTTTAAAAATATTACAAATGAAAATATTATGATATAAATTGTTCACTGCGCGGAAGTATTATACTGACAAAATGTTGTTGCCCTTAATTATTTTTTAAGGAATATCCCTAAGTGTAGTGGATTGCTGTCATTTGCTTGAACGAGCTAATGATTATTTTTGTGTACGTTAAAAAATCGATATATTTCGCATACCACACTAAGTACTACCCGAGGATTTCTATGGATTGAATTCGTCATTCGGTCTGTGATGTTGTGAAGTACTTCGAGGCGTCGGTCATAACGTTATTTCGTGATTTAAAATATTTTAAAATTATTGGTATATTGCAGGACAGTTGTAGCAAGTAAATGTTCGGGTGTAATTGACAAACATGAGAACTTATTATGTGTCTCTGCTTGTTCTTATAATGTTTCGAAATAATGTATGTTTTACTGGAATATTTTGAAGCAATAATTTTTTCAGTTGTAATATTTTTTGTTGGAATTTTTTGAGGTAATATTTTGAGTTGTGTTATTTGAAGAGGTAACTGAAAGAGCCTTTTGCATAATTACGTTTTCAGCAGTAATTAATAAAAATGATTTTTGATTTTTAGACATTCTACCTGACGCTTTGATGACTGCATGTACGAAATGCAACCCAAAACAAAAGGAAGTAACTCGAAAGGTGGTGACATACATTCGGAAATATAAACCAGTAGATTGGACTGCTCTTACGAACAAATATGACCCAGAGGGTCGTTACAAGGATGTCATTGAAAGTTTTGTAGAAAATAACTAATACTCGAGGGGATATGTCGAATTAATTATAATACAATGCAATGAAAAACAATAACACTTCTTTATTTACTGAGTACTTAATTAAAAAATGACATATCAATATTCGGAATATCGGAGGCTCAGTTAATGCCAGTCTCGTGGAGCCACATGAATTATTCTAATGAATTCACTCATTTTGTTATTGAATTACGCTGATTTTGCCATTAAATCTCTGACTGCTTTGGCAACAATTATCTGATATTTTTCGAGGTCGTTCGTTGTGTACCAATCAGATATTTTGTCGAAGTTTATGGACTGCCTGGCGGTGCATTTTCGGCATTTTGTGACTATTGCTTCTGGAAGTGTATCTACAACAACAGAAAAAATAAAATGACAAAGAACAATGGATTGTGTTTTCCAAGAGACATCATAACCATGCAATTTTTTTTTAACTACAGACATTACTCATAGCGAAAAATCTAACTTAATGTCATTAATTTTCCGTGGAAAAATCCTGTAATTTGATATTTCAGTGAATATTTTCTGAAATTAATATTCTTGTAATACTGCAAAATTACACTTAATTTCCATTGAATTTGTTTTAGCAGTACCACTATTGCCCCAAAATTATTGCACTTTTTACTATTATAATATATATATTAAAAAAAAAACGCTTTATAAACAATGGAAGGAATTTATTTTTCAGAGGGAATTCCTCCAAAGCAGCTCAATTTACAATTACTTTAAATAATCCGCTCTTTTTTCCTTTTTTCCATCTGTTACACAGAATATTTAAGCTTTTCTACATCCACATATAGCCGTATAATAGAAATTAATGTTTTTTCATTTTTCTGGCAACGTTATCACGGGATTGATATGAAAAAATATAACGTTTTTGCGTTTTGTCATTATTTAGTCACTCACAAAGATTCATGGTTGTGCGAATATTTTCCTGCGTTTTTTTATAAATTTAAAAAAAGAATCACAAAACTGTAGAAGGATGGAAGAAAATGATGGCACCACTACAAAACTTCGTGAGGCATTAAATAAAGACAAAACGCGAAAACGGTATATTTTATTCATATTAATGCCAGCGATAAGTAGCCAAAAAATTTTGAAACGGGAACTGTTGCTATATATGGGTCTGGAACATCCTCAACGTGAGATCCGTTGAGCGCTGATACAATATTGAAAAATATTTGAGAAGCTGTTATTGTAATTGTTAAATTTTCCGAAATAAAACTGTTTGACAGTCTCAAATACTGCGCGCTGATTGGGTGAAATCGTAATTTGTAAACTAATAATTGAAAATGAAAGTTCAATAAAAAGTATCGTTGAAATAAAAATACTTGAATCCATTATACTTTATACTCGATTTAAGTATATACGTTACGCTCAAAGTAAATATAATAATATAATGACTTTTATTAAATTATTGCATCAATGTTATTATCACCGTTGTTGAGTGAATAACTATAATAATATAGTTATTCCAAGGATATTATTATACTTAAGTCAAGTATAAAATAAATTCGTTGCAAGTATTTATTATTTTCGGTGATTTCTGTATGAAATGACTCACCCCTGAAGAATTTAGCTGCAGCAGTTTTGCAGGGACCAGTTCCCGCAAAGCAGGCGTAATAACTGTCCCTTTGTCTGGGATTTGCAAGAATTCCGTCAACGTCGATATAATCGTATTTGTCGGAATATTTTTCATCGGCAATAACAGCACTGCAGAGCACCAGAGCCATGAATATTACACCTCGGAGCATTGCGAATTGAGAGATTGATCAAGATTGCTCCAAGGAACTTTATCACTATTCAATTCACGGCAAACTGGATAGCCAATGTTGGTTTTTGGAGGTATTTATAGGTGATCGGATATGTTCCTGACGTCATGGACAACTCTTCGGAGTGGTTCCCATGCATGGAGTGTGTGACATTGAGATTTTGTGAAGGACTCGTGGAATCTTCATGAAAGGATAACAGGAAATTCCCTCGCGTGCCAATGCTTTGCTCGCTCTTTCCACTCAACAATTCGGTTGATGCACCTAAAAAAAAATCTATCCCTCGCTAAATTTTTTTCGCTATCAAATCTATTTCGTACCATTTTATTTTCATCTGCTGCGAAGAAGCGAAATTTTAACTTGTTATTTGTAAATATCTTGGAACTGAAGCAAAATTGTGATGTTTTTGTAAGAACATTTTTTGTTGCTTGCATCTTTGTCTGTAAAAAATGTTCATAGAAGAATATCGATATCTGTCTTCAAATGTACTCATCTCAATTCACTAGTTTAGAATACAAAACTTGAATAACAATTAAAGCCCTTAAAAAATAAATACTTCAAGCAAGTATATTTCGAACTTGATCCAATATATTCGATATACGATTCGTATATTCGATTTTCGATGAATATCGATGAATAATTGATTTATTTATCCCACGATTCTAATAACAATTATATTATAACTATACCAGGGTCAACTATACTTTGAATCACGTATATTTTATATACGTGATTCAAAGCATCTATTTTTATCGGCACAGTAAAACAACCAGATAAATGATAATATATTCCATATATTTATATTTTCAACATATTTGAGGAATGGGCTATACCGCAAGAATTGCACAATATACTCATTATATTCCTTTCCGTGATAATATCCGTTTCCGCGTATTTCGAAGAAGATTTTTGAATGATTAAGTTCTCCTACCGAATATCGTTGACTCAATATAAGGAAGACGTTGGTCTTGAATATTTCAAGACCACCATTTAAATTCTTCTGCAAGACCTGTATTATCATATGATAATTACGTCCGTCTATTCCACGGAGAGAAATATTCAATGAAAACCACCAATCGTTTTCGTAATTCCGGAGTGACATTCGATTAAGGAAAATTTTAGGAAATTGTTACGGAATTTTATCGGACAGTTTCGTAATTTTTTTTTAAATATTGAGTATTGGTCCGATGTTACTCTCGGCGGTTTTTGATGACTCATATCGAAAATTAAAGAAATTAATGAATTATTATTAAATATATTATAAATTGAAAAAAAAATCGCATATGACCAATGAATAAATCATGCCTTTATTAATATTTGTAAAATATTATTATAATCATAATAGTAACAATAATAATAATAATAACAATAGTCAATTGTGAAAAGGTTGTGATAGGTTTATAATTATAATGGCGATTGAAAAAAAATAGGAAAAAAATTTCGTTTGAGAGAATTTCAGCTTCTATCACTAAACTATGCCCCCACGAATAATTACGAAATTTAATGATCATTAGGGATCTCTGATTGCAAGGGCCCTGACCGTTATCGACTACTAACCGATATTCGAAACCTACAGCTAAAATAAAATGTGAATGTCAAACTGAAGGATCAATTCCGCCTGTCATTATACGCCATCTTTGTCAAGGTTCTGGTTCATGACCTTAAAATGTGGAATACCTTGTCCAATGTGATTTTTTTTTTTGTTAATCGGGTTCCTTCCGACACGAAGGACAGCAACTCGAGTTCAACGTTTCGTTATGATCGATATAATTTTACATTGAAGTTGACAATTATGTCATGCCTCCCCCTTGAGCAAAATCATCCCTCAACAATTACCTCCGAGAATTTATTCGTGACATCGACACAAAGATAATTGATTCGTCACTTATTAAAAATAAAATCAAATCCAAGAATAGTTGAAACGATGTCAACAAAAAAGGGCAGATTCACAGGAAACAGAAATTTCCAGAAGGTTTTAAGAAAAACAAAAAAATTGATTGAGAAAAAAAATGTTAAAGAAAAGTTACAATAGAAGAATTTTAAAGAATTAATCACTTCATTTCTTGAAGTAGATCTGAATTGAAAATTTAATATTCAGGAAAGTCATATTGTGATAGTTTGAGTCAATTTTTTTAAATTTATCTTTTTGAAATATCGAGTCTTCTGTCAATTGGACTTTGAACATACTCGTTTGGATCTGGCAGACTATCTCTGTGTTGGGCAGAATAAATTTTTCTGGAAAGATAATGTCTTCATCATTCCGGGGAATTCGATGGACTTTTTGGAAGACTTGGGTAATTATATTAAGAAACTACAATTCATCATCTAATTGAATAGGAAAATGGCATGTGTTACACGGTCGAACTGTTAATGCCCAGCCCGTAATTTTGCCGTCAACTCGGTGAAGTCTCAAGAGACTAACTTCACGTTCCTAAAATGATGCGTTTCGCAGCCTTGTACTACAATTTATCATTACACGGCAGAGAACCCAATATGCGCGCGTAATTTGAATTTCATCCAAGCTGACATATCTAATGTTGTAACTTTTGCACGGCAAAATTCATATTTCTTCTTATATATTAAAGGAGAGGATATTAGGGATATTGTATCGTTTGAAAAATTGTCATAATCGATTAATCATTTATTTTTTCTAGATTTCATTGTTTAAATATCTATTTACAATGCGATACTGATCATCCGGTGATTTTTGTTCTGTCATTGAATTAAAGATAGCAAATGATAATTTGCGAATGTGTTGCTAGTTGATAAAGTGCTAGTTGATGAATATATGAGGAATATCTAAAATCGTTTCGATTTATGTCGAGATATTGTTTCTTAAATCGAAGCATTGCAATCGTTGGAATCCAAGCTTTATTTTTCTTGTGTTATATCGACTTATTAATGACCCACAAAGTCAGAAAATGCAATGCAATGCTATTTTTTAATCGTGTCCGTTCGTGGGCATGTATGTGGTATCTTTTAAATTTCATTGGACGCTCTAGTATCTGTGAAATAAAATCATTTTCTTCGAACCTAAGCATTGCTATTAATTTTAAGGCCCGGGTGGACTATCTATCGAACGTCGACTTTTGTTTAAATTTTATCTTTTTAACTTCAAATACAGTAAAATTTGGGATCAATTTTGTGTCGCGGGAAGCACTTGAATGGACATGAAAACAATGAAAAAAAAGAGGAAAAATTATTGAAGGGCGCTAAAGATCGATATTATTTAAAAGGGATTTACCAAGTTTGCTGAAAAATAATAAAAAATACGTAGCTTACTGTTGCATCTAGCTGTCATTCAATTTTCTGGAGAGCAATGGTACGCTGCGTAATTTTTATTATTTTTTTGTAAACTTGGTTGATCGCTTTTGAACAATATCGCTTTTTAGCGTCCTTCAGTAATTTTTTCTCTTTTTTTTCATTATTTTTTTATAGCCGTTCGAGTAGCTCCCGCAACACAAATTTGATCCCAAATGTTAATGTATTTTAGGCTAAAAAGATAAAATTTAAACAAAAGATGACATTCGATAGATAGTCCACCAGGCCCTTAATCTAATCTATTTATTAATTTCGAAAAATTTAGTTTAGTGCAAAATGATTTTTTAAAGATAATTGTAGAAAAAATGTATTGAAACACTTGAATGGTTTTAAAAATTAATATTAGTATCAATACATCATAAAAATTGTTGAAAATCTATCTTTTGGAAATATTTGAATTATGGGACTGTCGCCAATAATTTTGCTTTAATTGCATTTTATTAGAACTTAAAATGTGTCAATAAAGTATTTCCATAAGATTTTATCGAAATTTCAAAATTATTGCAAACAACCGTTTTGAAGCGTATTACTAATTTATTAGGAAAATTAACTACAATATTTGTAATGATATGGCAATTCTCCACTTATTTAAAAAGTATATTTTTCATGTAATATGTATATTTTTTATGAATTTAATAAAATTTTGAATAATAGTAATAAATAACGTGTGGCCAAGAAAAATAATAAAAAAATCTACAAAATATATGCATACCATATATCCGACAGCAGTGTAAGCAATTCACAATAAATCAGAAACACAATCCATGGGTTTTTTAAAATTTTTCCTATGTATTTGTGTACACGATAAAAGGGAATAGTCGCGACTGATCAATTGTGTTTGTATCGTTAAAAATAAAATATCACATCTGAGGGTTCGCACGAAGCAATCTATTACGGTTCAAATTGCTGCTTAGCATTTGAAATTATTTCAATACCTAGTTAGAGAGAAATTCGTGGTATAGACTCTAATGATATGACATCGACGAGATGAGACATCGTTTGTCGAAGGGCCCCAACTGCATGTGACAGTTATCGAAATTACACGGAGTCTAATGCATCCCAGGTGGGGAATTCTCATCGTTATTTTACTCCAGTGTTCGGTAGGAAGTGATGAAGTCACTGCGAAATTCACTGGAGACTATTTCGACCGCCTCATAATTCGACAAATCGTCGCTTTTGGATGCTGGAGTGCTGAAGGTATTGGTCTTCAGAAGAAACTAAAGGGAATTAAAGCGAAAATTAAAATTTCTTACAGAGACTCTGGAATTTTCGAGATCACTGATGAAAGATGGCCGGTACCTGTCGTACATCTCTATTCAGAACAATTTGGACATGCAGAGAATTTTGAAAGTGCATTATTATAAATTGGGAATATTTCTGGACTTGGATTGCTCAGGGAGTGAAACAATATTTCATCAGGTGCAGACGATCTTTTCTTTATTCATCCGAAAGTCTCAATAATTAATCGGTTTTGAATATGAATTTATACTTCTTCGCCATTCGTTCATTTGTTCAAGGAATTGAGACATCAATAACAAATTGAAAAAGCAAATTATGATATAGATTCCAATTAACGTGTTAGAAAAGATAATGAAATATATGGGAATAAAGCTCCAGTCACAATTGCATTTTATTCGTTTTTCACTCTAAGTTTAAATGGTGATGATAAATTAACATGTTTTATTTTACAGTTTCAAAGTCAACACTTACGTCACAATGAGTCATATTTTTGGCTGATGCTCACGATCAAGTCCGAGCTGCCCAAATATTTTGAACATCTTCCTTTGAATATCGCAACGGAGATGACAGCAGCATTGAGGACACCTGATGGAGAACACACACTTTACGATGTTTACAATCCTAGTTATCGACATGGAGGCAACTTAAATGTCACTCTCATGGGATACTGGAATGTTGAAAATGGTTTAAACATTCAGTTGACGCAGTATAAATACAAACGCCGTGGTAATCTTTACGGTCTTGGTCTCAATGCCTCGATTGCAGTGAGAAAATTTATGTTTTTAGAATTGCAAATCAAATTGCCCACATGCTTTTCAAACATTTCTTTCTTATAAATTAGGTATAAGAACTCTTTACAGTATATTTTTATTTTTTTCTAGGTAGCGAAATATAATTGTGTTTTTTTAGAAATGTTATCTCTGAAAAATCAGAATTTTTGCAATTTTCTTGCAGTTTTCAATAACTTTGTATTTTAAAAAAGATTTTTAAGGGGAAATTTCATGGATTACATCGGACTATTGATATTTTTAGTTAGGATCACTAGTTTTTCATGGGGAATTGGTGGATGTTTTTTTTCAGATTGATCATCCAACAGTTCCTGACTATGAAACCTACATTCACAATCCAATAAATCCTCATTACGACACGATGCATCGATATAATTTCGCTCTAACTCGACAACTGAGAGATTACTACAATTTCACGTAAGTCTGGAAAACAATTTTCTTCAGTAGAGGAGTATTGTAATTTTTGAAATTTAAGTTTTATATTTTTCATGTTACGTTGACGCATTATGTCCTAAAAAGTCCGAAAATGCAGTTTTTGGAGTGTGCCTGTCACTCTGTATGTTTGTGTGTGGCAATTTTCTCAAAATTCTGCTCCGATTGGAAGCTAATGGATCCGTGAAATTAGATCATTTTCTTTCTCATACACAACTATTACTGAGAGCTATACCGCTATATACTAATTAAAATTTAATTCAGTTGTCGTTTTCCGCCGAGAATATGAATTTCTGATGATATAAACATACAATGAAAATATAAATTTTGAATTTTTTAATTTTCGAGTCCTTAAAGTCAATTTTACAATAAGATTTAATCGAACTTTTAAGATACTTATAAACGACTATTCGGAAGAATATTCCTAATTTATTAGAAAAAAAAGTAGAGCAGTAGTTCGTCATTTGTTTAACAATATTTACATAATTATCAATTCGCAGAAATCCAAAATCATCAAAAATTCAATCTGAATAAATTCAATATGCTACCTGAAAAATTTATACAGAAAAAAAGGATAAAGAAAATTTCCTGACATATTCCTTAGATTTTTCCGCTTCTCTAATTTTAATTATTCCTAAACAAGACAGAATGAATTTATCGAGGGGCACAACATGGGGGTACCTAATCAACGGATCGTTCAATGGAATAATTGGAGACATGATTAAAGGAATTGTTGATTTTGGTGCGACACCTTTTCAATTTAAACCTGAAAGAATAGATGTTATTGAATACACCGTCCAAGGGTGGTTGGCAAGGTGGTTTATCAACAATAAATTAAAATTTATAAGCAATTCTCGTATTTTATAATGATATTTCGCACTGGATTTAGGCCCTGCATTCTCTTCCGTCATCCAAAGAAGAATAATTTGAGCAATCCCTTCCTCAAACCCTTCGAGATGAAACTCTGGTACTGGATCGCAGTATTTGGTGTTATACTCTGGGGTTTTCTCTATTTAACTGTGAAAATAGAAAATAAATTTGATCCTCGAACACCTAGTAACACTCTTGATACTCACCCAGCATCGGAAACGATACTAATAGCTGCTGCAGCCATCTGCCAACAAGGTAATCAGAGTTTGGAGTCTTCCGTATTGTTGATGAATAACGTCATAAATTGTACACTATTTTTTATGTCCAATGGTTTTCCGCGGATTTTCTCCCTCCAGCTATTCTTAACAACTGTCTCTATCCAATTATTTTTCTATGAATTTCCTATATTGTCTTTAACTTTAAAATAAACTATATTGTCTTTAACTCTGGAGCAAAGTGCTAAACCAGGATAAGTGCCTTTTTTCGACGCCGGCTTTTCGCTAATATCTTAAAATTTAAGGCAGATAACGATTTGTTAATTATATCGTTTTGTACCTCTCATCCTTCTCTATAAAAAAGGTTCTTATGAAAAATTCCCGTAGTTGCTTCGATACCGAGATATCAGCTAAAAACTGGCCTCGAAAAAAATGCTTTCAAATATTTTGGAAAGGGAGGAAACAACGAACAAATTTTCCATACAAAAATTATGGCGTTTTAGAGGGGCATTTATTGCCTTTATCATGCTGCGGTTTCAAATTCATGCTTGCAGGATGGACCGCGTAGAGGTCCATTATTTCTGGATGAAATTTTTTGTTCTCGCCTGCACCCCTTCCCAGATATTGAGATGCATTTCTTTAAATGTGACGCCCTGTGTGGATAAAAATATTTAAAAGATAGTTAATTAATCTTTTTTAGAAAAAAGCTATTATGTAAATATATGTGTGGAAATTTTTTTGAATTAATTGTGATTGGTTGAAAAAAATTTAGGATTGAGTGATGGTCCTCGTTGTTATTCTGGACGCATTACCTTCTTATCTCTCTTCTTCTGGGGTCTCTTGCTGTATCAGTTCTACTCTGCCAGCATCGTAGGATCATTGTTATCAGAAACATCCAATTGGATAACAACGCTGCAGGATATCGTCGACAGCAATCTGGAAGTTGGGATTGAAGATATGGCATACAACCACGATTTTTTCGCAGTATGTCGTATTCGTATGGACTGAGAGAAAAATGACTCCTGCTTAGTAAATTTCCGTCTGCCAAACATATTTACCGACCATAAGCCAATGCATATAAATTTACTGGCACTTGCATTTTAGATATGTGGATTTTTGTGGAGTTCATGATTTCTTTCATTTCGTACACAGAAAGAAAAATCTAATCAAAATTACCAGAAAATTACCGTAAATTCCACGATTTATTGCGTCAAAAATAAAATAAGTTATTTCAAAAATTTTTCCCAGTAATTGAGAAATTCTAGGGAACACAGAATTTTTCTTTAAAAAAAAGCATGTAATTGTCATTTAATTTCATCCGAATAAATAAAATTACATGACAATTTTGTACTTTTTCCACTGATCAACTTGAGAAATTACTGAACGTTCCAAGTTTATTTTCTTCCATTCCTGTAAGACTATCGAAGAATAGATTTGTTCTTCTGGATTTCCTGAATTCCCTCATCATTTTTACTGAATATTTCTCTCCGTGTGCCCTAAATAACAAGTCCTAAAGTGAGGCGTTACTATTTTGGGAAAATCGGAGCCTATCGAATTATCGAATAACGAAATTGATGAATGATTATGTGGATTTAAGACATCAACAGATCCTGTCGTCCTGGAGCTTTACCGTAAGAAAATAGCAGTCAGCCCGAAGCGGAAGGCAGAGCCATATTTCTCAGCTGAGGAAGGTATTAAACTGATGCAGAAGGGTGGCTTTGCCTTTCAAGTGGATGTCGCCACAGCTTACAAATTCATCGAAGAAACCTTCACTGATGACGAGATTTGTGACCTAGTTGAGATTCAGCTAATGGCACCGAAACACACGGCCACTGGAACAGCAAAACATTCTCCATTCAAGAAGATGATTACTTATGGGTAATTGTTTTTTTTTTAATCTAGCAGATGCGCTGAGAAAGAAATATATTTTTTATGAATATCCATGTACTTAAGAGGAATATTTGATCATTTATTTTTATGTTTTTCCAGTCGAGTCTTTTCCAAGAGATCTCACTAGTTTTCAATTACAACAATGATATCCCTCTCGAAGATGATGATGTTAATTACAACTTTGAGTGAATCCTCTCCGTAAATAATAAGATGTATAAAACTTGACAATTTTTCAAATAACAATGCTGGAAATTAATAACCATCGGAGGAATCCTCTCAAGGTGCTATCAAGCGTGATCATCCTCGAGGACTTGATCATGATAATGAAAATCTAATCAGGATCGTCTCTGATAACGCGGCTGGAGAACTAGAACGTTCGACACGTAAATATTTCTGCCAAATAAATCCACATGGAAAAAAGAATATGTTCTCTCAGTGTATGCACCGATGAAATTTCAAATGCAATTTTTACACATGCATTGAAAATTTATTAGACAAATTTAGGAATATTTACTCAATGTTATGTAATTTTTAGTGGAATTATTCTGGTAAAATTTCTACTTGTCAGTGCGACATATTTGTAGTGTCAATTGCAATAATTTTGTGGATAAATTTCTCACGGTGAATTAATTAATTGAATAATTGCCTTTTAGATTGCGACTCGTGATGGAGCGAGGTACACCCCAGCGTTTGCTAAACATTTGGATGCATCGGAGGCCCCGATGTCCAGAGAGTCATAAAGCAAATCCTCTTCCCGTCGTCCTAACCGAATTCAGTCCTGCTTTATTTCTTCTCACCAGTGGTATCATGTTTGCAATGATGATGATGACTATTGAGATGTTTTTCTTGCGTTATTTACATCCATCAAATCTAAAATCTGAAGATGAGGTTGACTCTGTCGCGACAGTCGACAGTGGAATCGACAAGATTTACATTGATGATCCAGACAGATAAACTGGGTTGAAGTTGAAAAGCTCCTGTTTGGGTGAGAAATCAATTTCAATTTATTTCGCGAATTGTAGAGCCGACTAGTCATTTTTTTAAAGGTATGTAACTGCTTTTTTCAGGACTGTTCCCAACAAAGGAATTCGAACTGGTGTTTTAGCAAATTAATAGAAATTATAACCACATTAATAATATTCACATTTATAATTATCAGATTGTTATCGTGATCATATTTGCATGTTGTTTCATATGCAATATTAATCCGAAGAAATTTCGAATTCTTGATTTTTCCTTCAAATCATTTATTTCACTAAAATTCAGATTTGAAAAACGGATGAAGAGTTCTTGGTTTTTCATAGAATTTTAAATACAAGATTCAATAAAATGGAAACAAATTGATATGTCGACACTATTATTACGACATTAATTAAAAATTTGTATTTTTCCTCATCACATTAAAACCAATAACCGGTAACTCCATATTTTCATGAAGAAAGAAATCAATGATCGCAGTGTTTAGGTGATCACTGAGTGATTTAATTAGTTAGCAGTGCCTGCAATGAAACTGCCATTTGTACACAACCAATTGGATTATCACATAAATAAATTTAATCCGCAATTCTCAATTGTCCGATGACAAACGGAAGAGAGAGTTCGTATCCCTGACAAATTCATTGCGTAACTGAGGCCCAGGTAGTCATGAACTTCCGGCGGAAGGGCAATGACACTTGATAACCACCCCCTAATAGCTATCGTTCGGAATCGATCTATCATTTCTAAATTTTCTTGAATCACGGATATGTCGAATGACAGCCTGAAGGTCGTTATTTGCATAAAATATCACATAGGCATCGAAATTTGTACTTCACATACACGCATCTACATTTCCTCAGGAAAATCATAACCGGAGATTTAACACAACGTCACATGAAAGAGTGATTTTTCATGTAAAATCCTAGAGGATTTAAAATTTCAGGAATTTAGGCCATGGCAAAATCATTAGAATGTCTCTTCATCCTTGTGAGATTATTTCAGAAGATGTCGATAATTCATTTTCCGACAAAATTCTGAATGATTATTTTATTAGAGAGCACAATCAGTCACAATGGTGGGAGAAAGAATGATCTGAGATGTTTTGAATGTCGAGGTAGACGGGGGGTTCCCCCTGCAGATGATTTCTTCTCTCAGAAAAAAAAAGCATTTTTCGCCCGTTATTTTTAAACCTCTCACCGTCATTACAAAGACATTAATGGTTTTGACATTTTGGTATATTACCTCCAAAAATGAAATTATTTTGAATCTGTCGGTGTTCTGTAACAGTTAAAAAAAATATTAAGAAATATTTATTATAAAAAACGAAAATATCGGGTGTCTCCTGCTTTATCAGCACAAGCTTCGATACAGTTGGTAAAGACAATTTCCGTTGAAGTGATGTTCGGTTGGTAAATTTTCCTCATTCCTGATCGATAATTAATTACCAACTAGTTCTTCTTGCAATATTTAAAACCCAAATATTCCAGGGGGAATTAGTTACTAGAAAGCAATCGATTCGAGATATTATTCATGATTAAAATAAATAGTTTCCTGGAACAAATTAATTCAAATTAGTTGAAATTCTGTGACACTGTGCCAGTTTCGATATTCACAATATCGTATGCCCCGACAATTCACGCTCTGACCTTTTTGCGCTATGAAGTTTCTAAGAGTATGGCTCAACCGCTATTTTTCGTTTTTGTATTAACTTTAATTTGAGAAAGTAAAGTGTTTACTGCAAAAAAAAGGGTTTACATGATAATTATTTTACATAAGTGGAAACACTAGTATTATTAGAGCAAAGGAATTTATTCCATATTTCATGTCAATGTAGTTGACGATGGAAATTATTCCCAACCCATAATTTTCCCTTCTTTCGGATCTGCGAAAATTCTTTAAAAAACGATAATAGATTTCAGATTCGTTCTTTTAGTGTAGATTGAATATAATATATTTAGAAACGTGATATTCAGAATAACCAGGCCGTATCTGCAACATGACCGACATAAGAATAACATTATGATTTTATTAATTAATTAATTTATTTTATCTCTTTTTTTTTAACTATTTATTTTTATAGATGTTAATAAATTATTTTTGTATTAAAGTAACATGAAAAAGTGGGTTCATCTATTGAAAACTAAAAATGTTCTCACATTAAGTTCACAATGTTGAATTCATGTAATGGCGGAGCTGCTAATTACATTTAATTCTCATCGATTGCAGTTAATCCTTCCAATGTAATTGTTATGTCAGGGAAAAACAATAATACAACTCCTTAGACATCAGCAAAGTCATGGAATGTATTTTTATTTCACTTTCCATAACGAAAATAAAAAAATGAAAGGTCGAGAGAAATGAATACACCGACCTCGCAACTAGTAAAAAATCATTAATTACTTTCTTTTTTCGATAAAATTGAAAAGAATCCCGAATGAAACATCTCCAGTGGGAAAAACGAGGCCACATCCGCAAGTGGGTCGAGAGTGCGATCTGGAAACGGTGTTGGCAGAAGTTGAACGATTTCTAACAGTACATGCCCTCAGCCATGTAAATACTCCAGAGTACACAACTTCTCAATTACATACCAAAAGGATCAACAAAGGAATCAATGTGGTAATCCAGCATTGCGGAGATAACCCGCCTTCAGACGCTCCACAGACCGCAAACAGAGATCTACCAAGACAATCGAAGATGTAATTTCCTCTGCAAGGTCGTCACGCTTAATTACACACGATTGCTGAGGAAGCTATTATCAACATCCAGATTCCAGCGCATCTCCAACAATTACATCAGTCACTCGGTGGAAACTCACATTTTTCTATTCAAACATATTGAAATTCCTTGAATTTTCCATATTAGACCGTGAAAACAAAAGGGACATATTTATTTTGTTTAATAAAATGAAAGCTTCCGGCTGAAGAAAAATGGTGACACTTTTTTAAATAAATAGTTAAATGATAATATTAACACAAAATATAACAAGAAAATGCATTTGTTTCATTGATTTCCTAATTAGGAAGGCAAATTTTTAGTTAAGACACTTAAGACGACTGTTTCTTGCAATATATTATTTAAAATTGATAATTCCTGGATTCCTGCTCGTTTTTTTCGAATGAATAGATTATACTGGAAATATTCAATGGAATAATCCATATCCATGGGTTTCTTCCCATTGAATATTTTTTTAAGATATACCCCTTTATTCATATTGATAACACCTTTAAATATGAATGGACAAGATACTATTCTCTCAAATATTATGGAAAGGGACTATTATGTCGGGAAAATAAGAAACAAGATATTATCAACATGTTATTAATGTTATTGAAATTTTCTGGATATAATTATAATATTATATTGCAATATTATATTCGGTATACACGCATTCCTGAAATGTGAGGCTTTCTTGTTATTAAAAGATGGAAGTAAATACGCAAATTATTATTTTCTTAATTATTTGTGATATATATTGTGTATAATGAGATTTTTTTCTATATTTCCTATTATATTTCATTCGTATATTCGATTTCCTGTTCTCCAGGCGATCCGTACGATATCCAGTGATTTTAATGATAAATTTTTACAAATTTGGGCAATTTTTAACAACAAAATGACCAAAAACCAATGAAAATGAAATGAAATAAACCCTGATGACAGTTGAATTCATAATTATTACAATGTTAATATTTTTTTGCGTTATTTTGTCGCATAATAATATGGATTTGTAATACTTCAGGGTGCAATCGTCAATATTAATTCCCGATTTATTTTCCGGTGAGAACAGTAACTGCGGACAGCAGTGGAATACCTAGACTATATTAGAATAATATTTAAAAATTTCAGTGAAAAACGAATCAAACGATTCAATTAATGCAAACGGCTGAAATCAGAACGAATGCAATAAGACGAAAATGAGGATAGAATAAGAAGGTGTGAGCGTAAAAGGAAGGAGTCCTATAAAATCGTGTCGGTTACTTTCCTTCAGTTTACTCGAGTGCGCAATGGAAGTTAAAGCAACTACACCGGTCCTCATATTTGTTTTGTTTACTGTTGTGACAATAGCAAGAGATACCGAATGTTATACATGGCCAAGGAGGAATACATACATGACAAGATGGGATAAAGTGAATTTGGATGAAATTCTCCAGAATAAGAGACTCCTTCACCATTACTTCAGATGTCTCATGGGAAAGGGACCTTGTCCACCTGATGGACAGGAGCTCAAAAGTAAGTGTAATGGTTATTAAACATTTGAATATTTCTTGCTTCCCCCAACGTTTGTCTCTGCCCTTATTCAGAATATTATTAACAGAATAAAATAAACTGCAGTCTGGCATTACATGAGAGGAAAAAAACAGTTCAATTCGTTCAGAAATCGGTATTAATTGGTACTTTTGTAATATTACTGTCAGATTATATCAATTATATTATATTATATTTTGCTTTATTTAGATCACTAATATAATAAATCAAATGATTACTTTATATCGATTATCGTACACTATTTATAATTGTTAGAATTTGTTTTAGTAATGCGAAATTACGATTTTGCCGAACACTCATATACAAATCATTCTTTGGAATGATAATTTTGAGTTCTGAATTATCCAGCGAGGATTTACGCTTGGTGGGAGGTGTCACTCAAGGTCATAATACTAGTTTATTTATTACAGAATTTTCAGCAAGTTGCTTTCACTTCAATACATAAATTATGATAGTTATTTGGAATGCCCATTTTCTAAATAATTTATTATTAATATTGTTGTGACTCTTATTGAAATTTTTAGATAATATTCAAACAAAAAATACAGTATTGAAACAACAATTATTTTTAATCATTTAAAAGTGGTTAATTTTTCAAGAGAAATTCCATTTCGTTTAAATTCAAAAATTGAATTTCTAATTTTTGTGGAAGTAACTGATTTCGTTAAAAAAGCAATTTTTTGTTCTCAATTCCTGTTCCTGGATTGTTTAATGCCAAGGAAATTCCGTAAAAACATTTTCAATAAATTGAGTTATATGAAAACGTTAGGAGGTGTTAATATGCATTACATGACTTTTTCAATCCATAAAAAATTTAATTGTACACTTCTTCGTCTTACACACAAATCCTGCAACTAAAAAATTGATTAATCCGCAGATTAACATTTTTTTTTTGTCTTTTTCAGGAGTTCTACCGGAAGCATTGGAAACAGCTTGTGCTAAATGCTCAAAGAGCCAGAAAGAAGGTGCAATATATGTAATAAAATATTTGAGGTAAACCTTCGCTATTTGTATTTTCTGCAATCCTTTGTCTCTTCATTCATTCTTTCGTGCGTAATCCAATCAATTATAGACATATCATTGGAAATAAATGGATAGAGGTGAAGTGAGGTGAATGACAATTCACGATAGACCGGAAATTGTTCCGTTCATCGTGAATTGTTCCGTTCATCGTGAATTGCATAACTGAAAAAGATATGGAAAGATAGATTCGGATTTTCCATCGATTTGATTTTATTCAGCACAAATATTATCACTTGCTCGTTTTTTTTTCTTTTTTCTAGGGAATATATGCCGAAGAAACTCGAGATACTTGCGAATAAATACGACCCAGATGGAAAATATCGTCGACGTTACTATCATTCCGCATCCGTGGATAACAATACCACGTGATATTTGCATCAAGACTTTCTTTTTCGTATTGTGTATTCCGTCGTTGTCGCTTCTTCATTCCTTCTGTTTATTATGATTTCACATTCGGTACTTTTATTTTTCCCTATTTTTATAGTTATTTGTTGAGTTTTGTATTTTTATTATTTAATTATTTAATACACAGTTTTATAATTCAATTTTACCCACGAGTTTTCAGTTATTTATCTCAATATTCATTATCGTATATTATTTCTTATTTATGGAATCTGATTACAAGTTCCATCGAGTCATTGGTTAATGTACGATGAGAGAAATTCTCTCGGATAAGTAAAAAGTAAGACTAGTTTTTAAAATAAAATTTATGGGGAATCGATTTGAAAATTTCGTATTATCACGAGAAAAATTCACTGAGGAATTTTCTTAATTATTCATAAATTCCCAGAGACCTGTGAACAATAATTGTAATTGAAAATGACTTATTAAATTAGGGAGTTATTGCTGATACTTTCCCATTCTTTACGTGTTTTGCAAATTTCTGGAAAACCATGGATCAGATCGACAGATGTGGTTTATCATTATTCAATGACTCATTATTTTTCATGATCGTACGTCCATTTTTCTAAATTTTAGTCAAGTTTTGTTAGTTTTTGCAAAAGTTTAACAAGAAAGTACAGGAAAATTCTTTCACGGCTTTAGAACATCGTGAGACATTGAATAATAATCAAACATGAAAATATTATTATTTATTTTATTATAATTTTTTATAGTTAATTGTTAGGAATTTTTAAGGGATCGACATATTTTTTCTCATCAATTTTATCAACCATTTCTCAGAAATTTGTTAAAATATTGAGGGATGAGAAAATATGGGCAAAAAATTCTTAAATATGAAGTTATTAAATTGTTCTCATACCTTCGACTCTATTTATTAAAAGAAAAAATGCAGTATTCCTCTAGAAATTTTTCGTCATCCTGTAATTTATCCCCAACGGTAAATCCCTCCAGAGAAATCTATCCCTGGAAATATGAATGGGAGAAAGCAAGACCCGGGTGAAAGTTGGGGTGAAAGCTGCACCACCCCCGGAGCTTTTGGACTTGCGTGATGCACGCGGAGCAAAAGGAAAGTCCGAATACAGAGCTTTCTCCAAATAACATACAATTCCTTCTAATCCTATGCTTTCTCCCTAATTTGCCCTTTATTATTTATATGCGCACAGCCGCGGAATTTTCACCTGAAGCATTTCAGGGGCCAGTGAAATAGAGCCATTACCAGACGCTTTGTCCCGTGGAGAAATGGATACATTCAGAGTTTTTCTGCTAATGTTGTTGTTCTTTCATTCAGTCACTACAGACGAACATTTGGAAGCATTCATCAGAGAATTCTACGAATCAGTTAATGTCCACCAAATCGTAGTTTTTGGATGTTGGAATGATGCTGGTATGTTGGTTACGAATGTATTAGTGTTATATTCCATTTCTTTTTCTGTTTCATTCTTACGTTTTATTAGTTGTCAGTTCTTTTTGGATATATTCCTAAGTCGTGGTGTTTGTTTAATATTTATCTTATTGCAGCTATGTGCGAATATTCCATTGAAATATTTGGTTTATTCTGGAAATATATTATAGAAATCGATTGATATATTTTTAATTGCAACGAAATTTGAATGAAACTCGATTGACTTTTAGGTGCGCTACAATTATCGAAAAATATTATGAGACATGACACAGCTGTTTCATTTAATTCGATAACTCCAAATATGAATCTGGAGGTAATTCTCAAGGTGAATTATTATCGTATCGGAGTCATGCTAGATTTAGATTGTCCTCTCAGTGATGTCGTCCTACATCAGGTACAATGTTTCTTTTTAAATCGCAATAGTTGATTATTGCCATAATTATATAAACGCACTTGCATCGTATTATCATTTTCCATTTAGCACAACTAACGAAGTCAATGAAATTACGTGTAAATATTAATTGAAAGTGAGTTGATTTTCTAAGATGTTAGACTCCAAAAGAAATTTCAAATTCTTAACCCTGTGTAACATATTCTTAAAAATTGGTAATATTATATTTATAATAATTTTATGAATTATAATTTTCCATTTAAAATAGTTCTCTACTTGATATTTATCGGTCATTATCATACATTAATTTATTAATGGTGATGATAATTTATGGCAATCGCTTCATAAATAATTTTTTCCAGTTCTCGAATCAATTGGTTTTTAATGAGTCGTATATATGGCTTTTGCTCACAACCGGTCCATCAGTTCCGAGCAATCGATTGGAGCATCTTCCACTATCGATAGACGTCGAAATGACTGCTGGAATACGTAACAATAACGAATTTATTCTCTATGATATTTGGAATCCAAGCTATCGTCACAACGGATTATTTCACGTAATCCCCAAAGGCCGCTGGAATTTTAGAGATGGACTGATCAATGAATTAATTCAGTACAAGTACACGCGCCGCAATTTCAATCAGATGTCTCTGAATTTTTCGATAACCGTGAGTATTTTTCCCAACATTATCACTGATTTTCACTGAAAGAGATCACTGAACGGTCATCGAGGGTTCTGTCATCATCTCCAATATCTCTCACTAAGTTAAGCGATGCAAAATAGTCCTAATCGCACTAGAGTAGCGCTCCCTCCAACCAGAGAGTAAGCTCTATTGCAGCCCTAAATTGTGCTACCTAAGTAGCCGGAGAGACCCAAGGATGACAGCCTTCTGCATCTGCCCAGACAATATTACAGTATTTCGCCTAGAGACTGTAATGACAATAACTTGTGAAATTATTATTATTGTCATTATTATTATGATTATTATTTCGATTTTTCTAATATCTAATATATTCGTTTAGTGAAAAATAAACTCAACCTATATTGATAGGGTTTTTTTACTACAAAATTTCAATGGGATTTTATTAATTTTTCTATTAGTTTCCATTGGGTATATAAATATTAATCGGGTAAACAATAATCATACCTTCAAAAACGAAACAAATCCGAAAGCCAAAAAATTAACACTTGCTGCAATATTTTTTTATATCAGCTGAGGCATCAGCCACTTCCGGATCTAGAGACTTACATCACAACCCCCATAAATCCACAGCTGGATTCGATGCATCGTTACCATTATGCGCTTGTGTTAATATTAAAGGATATCTTCAATTTTACGTGAGTACAATAAACCAATTTATTCATCAAAAATTCATTCCAATACTGACTAAATCGCTCCACTTCTCTCTTACTTTACATCATAAAGTGTGAATAATCATTTACGCCTTCCACAAATGCTGTACACCATTTATAACATCATTTTCCGAATGCTATTAATTGATAATTAATGATTTGGCTCAATTGGTAGCAATCAACGTTTCACCAATTGCTTCTAATAATCAATGAAACATGCTCCGTACGTGTGATTTTATTTCAATTTAACATGAATTGGGTCAATTACTGCCTAATAGAGCCACTTAATGACTCATTAGAAGATTTTTTTTCGTATTCATTGATCTCCCCTGGGGAGTGATGGACTCCGATTAACGTGTGTAATTAATCCCAAAGCATAAATTTGCATCGGGCCAGTTCCTGGGGCTACATGAGACCAGACAAGACCTTCGACGGAATTCTCGGGGACATGGCGAAGAAGATAGTTGATATCAGTGCATCACCATTTCGATACAGACCCGAGCGATATGATGTCGCCGAGTTCACGGTTCAAACACTGCTTGTGAGATCATTCTTCATCTTTCGACACCCCAGCAGCGCTTCTCTCCGGAATAATTTTTTGAAACCCTTTGCCAATGAACTTTGGTGGATGATACTCGTGGTGAGCATCGTCTACTGGATTTCTCTGTTGATTACCATCAGGATTCAAAAACACTACGCCAAATCCAATTCTTTGGTGGTACCAGCATCTGAGGCAACTCTCACTACAGTCGCAGCTCTTTCTCAGCAAGGTGAGACCTTCAATACAAATAACATGATAATTACATTTCTCTACAAATTTATCTATTTTCTATTAAAAAAAAAAAACAAAAATCAATCTGTCTGAATTAGAATGTCGGAATAAGAAAAAGCGGTATATTATTTTTTTCTTGACATTAAATACTGAAACTAATACTAGAAAAAATTAAGTTTCTATTATTTTATGTTCTGTTTTTAATTCGTTTATTTTCGTTTGGATAATTTTCAGGAGTTGCCGACGATCCACAAATAATTTCTGGGCGGATTGTCTTTCTGTCTCTCTTCATTTGGGGTCTTCTGTTATTTCAATTTTATTCAGCGAGTATTGTTGGGTCACTTCTCACAACTCCTCCGCATACAATCACAACAGTTAAAAATTTGACTGATAGTGACATGGACGTTGGGGCGGAAGATGTTGCATGGGCTCCTGACATGTTCAGGGTATATTTCCTTCGAGTTATGATAGCATTTGGAAGAATTCGGAATCGATTTTGATATTCTCTTTTAATTGTCGCAGACAACCCCCATTGCAGAAGAAAAAGAACTGTACTTGAAGAAAATCAAGCCCCACGAGAACACACCGAAGAACAAATTCGTTCCTCTTTTAGAAGGCATGGGGAAAGTGAAGAAGGGAGGATTTGCGTTTTATACTGAATCCGCACCAGCTTACAAATTAATCAAGGTATCAATATTTTTTAGGATTATTACCATAATGATTTCATAAAAACCTGCGAAACACTGCTGGTTCAGAATAAATCCGTTATTTTATATTGCAAAAAATTTTCAATTTTCAAGAAAATGGTTAACAATTTTCAATGCTGGCTATCTCTCGATAGAAAAATTATATAAAAAACAAGAAAACCGCTCACCTGCGGAATAAAAAGGGCTATTCGAGAATGTTTACCTTTTATTTTGACGAGATCGTCTGCGTGTGCTCCGCACGTACATTCGTTTCCCTTACGGCCATTCGCGATATTTCCAGATTGATTTCCCTTCTCTTTTTTATATTAGAAACTGTCTCACACATTACAACACATTTCAATTGTAGTAACACAGCGCTGACTCCCGATTTCTTCATAATTGTATTGTTCCATATCGATCCATCATTGCATTATTCTATAACATCAACTTGATAATCTGGGCTTTAAAACGTGTTTTTGAATTTTATGAGAAATTGTTGCTTGTCAATAGTGTCAATGTAAGGAACTGGAAATGTATACGATTAATTGGTTAATAATTGCGATAAAAATACTCGGTTCATCGCTGGAGCCATTGAAAAAAAAGGATAATAGCTTAATTACTGTCTATTTACGTCCTGTCATTAATGTTGCTTAATTGGTTGTCTCCAGGATACCTTTCACGAAGACGAAATATGTGAACTCCAGGAAATTCAATCACATCCCGCACGGGAAGTTACAATGGTGACAGCCAAGCATTCGCCATTTACAAAACTCATAATCTACGGGTAGGTCTTTAACCCATTCTTTAATTGCCCGATCTACCATGATTATAATGCACTCGATGTCATCATATGTAGTTTGAACGTGCAATTATAAATTTATTAAATATCTGTCAAAAATGGGAGTGAAGAGAATCGTAATACAACTCTTTCAAGCATCCGAAGTGAGGAGTTTAATAAAAATTAAAAAATAGACAAACAGCTATGTATAAGGCCTGTCGAGAATTGTCCTGAAAAATTAAATTTATTCTCCAATTAATAATAAAACTAGCATGAATCAAGAATAAAATTGAGTCGGACTGAATTATATGAAAAATAACTTGAGGGACAACCAGATCATATTATGATCTTTGTGATCTTGTTGAACTTGATGATCATGATCTTAAGTGGAAAAAAATAGCCTTTCGTAATATTATTCATAACATAACTTACAGTTCACAGAATATTTTTAAAAAAATGACCAAAAAATCCTTCTCTTCTTCGATTAATTTCAGACTAAGAAAAATCATTCAACATGGCTTAGCTGCTCACACCTTAGAGATCTGGTATGCGTCCCGTCCTCGATGCCCCGAGACCCACAACTCTAAACCAACAGCTGTCAAGTTCGAACAATTTGTCCCGGCAATTTTCCTTCTTCTCATGGGAATCACCGCCTCGATCTTCATACTGGGCATAGAGTATTTGTATTTTTATCAGACTGAAAGGCTTGACAACTCCCAGGAAGAATATTCCGCTCAAGCGACTAAAACTAATCCAACACCTGAGCCCTGCACAGAAGATTATTAATAGTGTTGATAGAATTTATAGTGCAATCGGTACAGTAAAGTTATTCATGGTCATCATGGTCTACTTGTTTCATGTCATAATCGTCGTACCAAGTCTTTCGTTTACGGTAGATAAAATAGAAATGTCAAAGAAATATATTTACGGATTATTTCTGACGCGTTGTAGATAATATTCATTACTCAGACGATGGTCTCTCAATTTCTATCTCCAAATGGCTGAGCATGACTCTCATCAGTCAAGGCACTGGAAATGCTGACACGTCTAGATGATTGATGAATATGCACTTCCAACAATCAGTGAATTTTAACTCATTCATTGTACTTTCGGCGAGTGAATGATAATCTTGCGACAGTTGCCAATAATCTGAAGATGCTACGTGAAACAATAAGTGACGGTTAAGTGGACATTAATGAATTCTCTTGAGATTGTTTCCGCATCATCTGCGGAATTGGACAATTCTTCATTTATCCACTGTTTTGACATCACTAGTTCTTATTTCCCTCAGCAAACACCGATGACAGATGAAATTCTACTGACATTAAAGTGGATGCGCGGGCAATCGAAAATCCCCCTCTCGATTTCTTACCGTAATCACAGGTGAGTGACTTTGAAATACAATTGTCCGCATATCATTCGCTTCGAACCCCTGGGATACACTAACATTCTATACAATTTGCATGGCAAATCAACTGAAAACCGCCAATTGCCGGGTTCAATGCGAGTGCGGGATTCTACAAATTATCGATTCAATATCAATTCTCCGTCTATTGTTGAAAGCTCTGAACCCTAAGGTGCATTACTGATGATGTCTTAAAAATTCCCGATAATCAATGAATTATAGCTTTTTCAGGAATGATCCCCTGTATTGTTTTTTATTTAGAATTGGAGATGAAAATGATTCTCAACTTTTTACGTTTCATGATGATTGTTTGAAAATTATTGGAGGGTCAACCAGGTGAAGAATAAAATATCTATTCTATTGAAAAATGCTGGGGATATTCTCCATTATTCCTCATTTTCTTCCAGTTCTTAATCGATAGAATAAATGCGCTCTTAAAAATAATCAAATCCGTAAATGATTAAAAAACTGCATTTATGTTCCGTGTGATACGTTCCAGAGACAAATTTTCTCTTTATTGATTCTCGTATAATCTCACTAAATGATTAATGGATGCGGCTTTTTTAACGTCTGGTGACATTCTCGCAACAGATTCTATTCATTGGAATCTATTTAGCCTTCCTCTCCTTGATTCTTTCATGAATAATTTTCTCTTTGAGACACTAACCGATATGATAAATACACTTTTAACAGTCATGAAAGCCGTAGATAATTAAAAAATTCCATTTATTTTTCCAATTCATAATTCGCTCTTCATTTATTCCCGGGGGAACTGACTAAATGATGAATGGATACAGCAAATTGAATCTCTGGTGACATCGCATCAATAGATTCTATTCATAAAAATCCGTTTAGACTAGAAATCTAAGCGTGAAGCGCATTAAAAGTGACAATGTCACACTAATAAAACTTCTTTCGTCAAATATATTTACCGTTCACTTCCAGAAGACAGGCAGATATATCATTTTTATTTTTAACAAAATTTGTTGCTTCTCGCGTGAACTTACAACTGGCCATGTACAGCTATATCCAGGAATTTATATGTACATAATGATTAATATGATGCCAAATATATTTTCTTGTGGTTAGTAAATATACTTGAGAAAATAATTTTTTATTTTCATGGCAATGTCTCCTTTGCATTTCAATGAGAAATTCATTTGCTAAGAATTATCTGGCATGCGTTTCAATGCGGAAGGAATATTTATCGAGTGTTTAGAGGTAAACACACTGATGATAGGTAACATCACCCGTTACAGCAGCTGCACTGAAGTTGATTGAGTCGTGTGGTTTCCAATGACAGGTTGCTAGTAAACATACAATGCTTAATAACCCCCTTTGTATTGATGCCTCACATCATCCTAGGTCCGTTATTAGGCAACTCCATTGACTATCGATTCAAATGGAGCTCTAGGGCTTGGACTTAGACTCCCACAGTTTGAAATTACAGATGGAATGGGTGAGAACTTTACATTTCAAATTGTGAAGGAGATAAGTCCATGATGAAACTCATGGTGATTTTGATTCTGCTTCATTCAGTAAATTGTGATGAAATCTTGGAGCAATTTACTAGAGATTACTATCGGGCGAATAATGTTCGTCAGATCACTGTTTTTGCCTGCTGGAATGACTTTGGTGAGGAGTCATTACCCGTATGTATTGATCATTAATTATATTCTTTTCACAGATGCTTTCCATTTCACGAGGAATGTCATGCAACTCGACATGACCGTTTCATTCATTCCAATCCCATCTACAATGGATTTGATCAAAATTTTGCAAGTAAATTATTTTCATGTTGGAGTCATGTTAGATCTGGATTGTTCGGACAGTGGAACTGTGCTGGAAGAGGTGAGGAAATTAATGGGTTTATGTTTAAACAATTTGAATCGAGAAAATTCCAGACATAAATAATTTCATACACAAACGACTTCAATGAATAACCACAACAAAAATAATAACTTCAAATGGATCACAATTTCAAATATAGATTACCGTTGTTCCCCCCACTATACACTACCTTACATGCATTATATATATAGCTACAGGAATGTCAGTAATATAAATTATTTATAAATGAAAGTGATTTTTGTGTGCTGAGATTATTTCATGAATGATCGTGGGAATTTTGTGAATTAATACGATAAACAAAAACAATATAGAGAACCGGTAATTATATTGTGGGGAGTAATTTTAAATGATAGAAGTTATTTAGTTTTTTATTGTAAAGTTCACTTGATTAAATTATTCTGACGTAATTAGTTTGAAAGATATTTAGATATGCTCACAAATAAATAAGTTACTATTTTTTCTGATATCAATTTTTTATGATTTCTTCTGGCCGTGACAAGTAGTTTTCAAGGAAATTGACGTTCAATGAAACCTATCTCTGGCTGCTCTTTACTGGGGCTTCAGCCCCACCCAATGACAGATTGAGACATCTTCCTCTGTCAGTGGATACAGAGATGACAGTTGCGAATCGAGAGAAAGATAAATTCGTCCTCTACGACGTTTATAATCCGAGCTATCGTCACAATGGTGCCTACAACATCACCTACAAGGGCCAATGGATCTTCAAAATTGGTTTGAATGATGTCTTGACACAATATAAATACAAACGCCGTGGAAATTTTCAGTTGCTGCCATTGAATTTTTCAATTGTTGTATGTACTACTTTTTATTACGATGACAATCAGCGAATGACACTGATTTAATTGATCTCTTGTTGTCAGCACAGTTGACAAATCCACCTAAACCTGATTTCGAAACCTATATAACGACTCCGATAAACCGACAGCTTGACACAATGAGTCGTTACCATTACTCCTTGGTATTGTTGCTGAGAGATATTTTCAACTTCACGTGAGTTCTTTTTCAACAATTCAATACAGAAACATTCGAAGGGAAAACGGT